GTCGTTTTGGCAAAATGTATCTGCAAATATTTTGATGTATCTGCAATGCAAAACATGTCCAGATACGTCCAAATATTTACAGATACATTTTGTCAAAACGACAACTAATTTGAAACGGATGGAGTAACTAACATCAATACATCAGTAATATGGCAATCAATCGAAGCATTTTATGGTATATGTAACTTTTCAAATTGCTGTTTTTTTTATTGTTAAATTAGATCTGCAGTTTTTTTTTTTTTTTGGCTTCAAATTAAAGATATAAATAATTTTTGGAATGAATTACACAAAATCACTATGGGTCTAGAAGTGCTGGGAGAGGATTTTTCATTATAGTTATTTATATCTTATAATCCATTATAACTACTTACAGAAGTTTCGAAATATAAATCATATATATGAATTGGGGCCAACTCTCTCCATTTATGTGACATGTGGACACTTTACTTATTGACATATGGTATAACTTTTCATATTCTTTTCAGTTACTCTAAATCTTATTTATTTGCTAAACATTTTAATTGATCGTAATTAAAACCACTCTATTGCTTTAAGGCTATTACCCTTTGACTTCCATCTTGAATTACTATTAAATATCTAAATCTCATAACATACAGTCTACATCTCCTAATATACAGAGAAACAAATTTAGTGAAAGAAAGATGAAAGAGAAGCAAAGTCCGTTAATATGGCCGGAAGTAAATAAAGAGAGTTGATGGTATAGAAATGTATGATCTCTAGAGTTGATGGTATAGAAACTTAGGATATATAGAGTTAACAGTACAAAGTTGTTAATTAAGTAAGTTAGAATTAAAATGCCAGAGTTTATAATATTAATCACAAATCTATAATTATTTTTCATTATTTTTAAATAAGTTATAACAGTAAAAAAACCAGCGCGTAGGCGCGGGCAATAGTCTAGTAATTTTTGAAACATACATTTTTAGTATGATTCGTTTCTCATAAACTTCATAACCAAAAATTAGTAACGTTTGAAACATAAATAATATTTGGAATGAATCACACATTCAGTTATAATGATTTTTCATGAACCATAATTGATGATTTGAATTAACAATATACTCCCTCTGTTTCATTATATAAGGGGTTTTAGTTTTTGTACAAAGATTAAGAGTCCATTTATTTTTTTTTCTTTTTACAATAAAATATATTTGCTTATCAATTTCAAAATATTCCAACCAATGAAAAAGTATTCTGCACAATATAAATAATCAAAAGTAACAAAAGCACATTTAATTTTGCACAAAAATTTGAAAACCCCTTATATTATGAAACAAAAGAAAAACTCAAAAACCCCTTATACACTGGGAGTAGTAATATGGCAATGAGGCAATCAAAAGCATTTCCTGTTTTTTTATATAGTTTATGTAACTTTTTAATTTCAATTTTTTTTGTTAAAGTAGAGCTGAAGATTTCATGAATTTGAAAAGATATAAATATTTTTTCTTAGAATGAATCACACAAAATATTAGCTTAAAAAAAACGCTGGATATCTTTTTATTAACAGGAAAAGTGCCACTAGAACAGAGTAGATAGCTCAAAACATAATGTAGGAACAGCAATAAGCGATAACAACAAACCAGAAATTACAGAGAAGTAACTGGCTTGTCCAGGTTCACAGTATCATTTAACCAAGAACTAGAAGGGGATCCACTGGCCACATATGATTGATATCGATTCTCCATCGTCAGGCTACTAGCTATCGAGGCCGCACGTCTATTTGAGTTTGTGATCTCCACTTGGAAAGACCACTCATTGATTGAATGCAAAGATATGAGCAGACTTGACGATTGGAATTTTCGGAATACTCTTGTACATTAAAGAACCATTGTTTTGAATCCTCAAAACTCCTGAAAACCTTGATCTTGTCTCTGAGATCACTCAAAGAAGGTCTTACCAGTGGCTCCTCAAATACGCCAGACTTTTGCATTTGATGTCCAAACCAGTACCCAGATTTCACAGCAAGAGAGACAGCAAGTTTAATCTTCAATAAATATGTCAATGTATTTAAGAAAAAACACCTCCTTCAGCGTACCCCTATCCCAAGTCTTTGTTTGAGGATTGATCAAGTCTCATACCCTCATATTAAGGTCAAACAGTGATTGCTTCCCATAGGAACCTCTTGGGATGGCATCAAAAATCCATACATAGATAGCTTCACCTGAACCAACAGATCTCTTTATAGGCCATGAATAACACTTGTCCACCAAAAAGACGGCCTTGATCCGATCAGGAAAATAGACTCTCCATTTTGATCTCGTTATGATATAGGTTTATATAACAACAAACTATTTTTTATTTATTTGTAGTTTATATATATGATGATAGGTTTTACAATGACAATGTAATCACAAGCCACTGTCGTATGGTATTCCTGTGGAATTTACCCATGAATCGTCCAGAAGTTTTCGTACGGTGAACTCCTCCGCATCACTCGGATTATCTATGATCTTGAAGCCCTTCCATCCGACTCTTCTGCTTGTCGCTGCCCCGGGACCTGTATTAAGGCTAACATTCTTTTTCAAATACTGAACTAATGCTCATATTTTTTTTTAAAAAATGTTATATATCAAAAACAATCATATGGGGCTCTCAATCTTAAACATATGACTTTAAAAAAGAAAATATATAATAGCAAAACATGATAAAATTATCATTTCTATTATGTTTTACTTATGATTTGCATATATTTTGCTTATAATTTCCTTATATTATACTTACTTTTGTAAAAAAATTTGCTGATATTTCTCTTATTTTTATTTTATTTATTTATTTTATTCTAATTACTAAGTTTTTTTATTATAATTATTAAGTGTTTCAATTCTATTGGTCATAGTATTTTCATTGATTCATATAACTTTCATTCTCTAATTATTCAATGTTTATATTTATAGTTCTTGAGCTGTGGTTCCATCCGACGGTTAGAGACATCGCTAGTAATGTCCTCCATAATCTAGACAAATCAGTAGTAATAATCTAGTAAGATTAGGGCTTCCTCCTCGGAATCATCCAATGAATTCACCTTCCGATTTTTTGCCTCATCCATCATCTCCTCGCAGTCAACTAGATCCACGTCTTCCCTCACACCAATCGATTGAGAGTGACGAAGACAACTTTGTAAGCTCCGACAAGTGGGTTTGGCATGAGTCTCGGCTATTACCTCGGCGGCAAATCTTGATTTCAAACAGTGTAAACGATGATTACCTCAGTTTCAATGGATACAATGATGGTAGGCATTTCGTAATTATAGATTATAATATTGCTGACATATAGTATTTGCCCTTTTTACTCAGTTAGCATTGATCAAACTGTTTTTAATAAGTGAGAATCACTTGGTTCCGTCGATTCCTACTAGAGTATCCGGCTCAATATGGTTAGCTCTATTTAGTCCAAAGTCCAAACCGTGTATCTTTGATTTGAGTAACGAATTACAACCGACAGACTTGGATTACTGTAAAAATATAAACCATGTATCTTTTGATGGGTAGATATTGTGACTTGGATTTTCTTTGTTGTGATTTGATTCGATGAAATTCGTAATTATCTTCTAAAGGTATAAAGAATTAATTAGGAAGATAATTGTTGAAATTTTTCTTTTCTTTTTCTCGTAAATTGGTGGTATAAATAAACCTCAATCACAATGTAAAAAAAAAAAAAAAAAAGAGTAATGGAATCGTTACCTCATCATGTGGTAGAGCTTATCCTAAAGAGACTCACGGTGAAATCTCTCATGAGATTCAGATGTATATCAAAACAATGGAAATCAACAATCGAATCCGAACACCTGAAAGATAGATTGTTGAGCCGAGATCCAAATGCTCTACTTCAAGTGCTTATTGATTGGTCAAGAAGTTCCAAGGACGAGGGTTGATGATGATGGTGCACAAGCACAATGCTGTACAAAACGCGTTAAGATGTGTTTTATTTATGTCTATCCCTTATTTTTACCAGTTTATATTATTTTTACTGTGATTATCTATATCAAGTATGTAGGTTAGGATTATTTCCCACGATAAAATCCTTACAGATTATGTTATTAGTCTAATATTATTTTTGTGTGTGTGTTTTTAGTTTTAAACACACAAACATAGGTGTTTGATCATGTTATTTGGGGAAATAATAAGTGCAGCTTACATTCACAATATGATTAGTAACTATCGTCTACAACCCTCACTACTTGTCTTATCGTCTGCAAGAGCCTTAGTGAATTTATTTACTCGGTAACCTGTAACCGGGCGTAACCTGTAACCGGGCGTAAGGGATACCAAGCTCAATTGAAAGGAAACATGATTTGATCAAAGTTAACCAGAATGTGAACCAATCAAAACGATTCAATTTTTTCGTTTTTCAATTTATATATATATATATATATATATATTAGTTTGATAAGATTATGATGTTTATGAGTATATCCGATTCGGGTCATTGTAACTTGTGGCTACTGGCTACGATACATTCGGGTCATTGTAGCTAGGACAAAGAAACTTGGAGGATGTTTTTTTTTGCATTTGGTACTGCAGTTTGAGTCAAATTCATTATACAGCGGCAAAAAAAATCTTTGCACATTACATTATATACATGATACATCATATTGGTATCCACATATGATGCTATAGTTAATCAATATTTTCGAAGTAATTTGTTTTTAATTTACATTTTTTAGCAAAAGATTCTTAATACAACTATAAAGAATAAGGGTACCATGGTCATTTTCGACTCCGCCTCCCTCCAAAAAATCTCAACGACTCAAAACTCCTTCAATCAGAAGATACGAATCAACGCCACTCCCAAAATAATTCCAAACAAAGACACCAGAAAATCAGATTAGTCAGATAAAACAAAACAAAAATAATGAAACTTTTTTAGCAAATCTCTCAACACTCTCTCTTGTTCACCGCCGACCCGATAAGCCGTTTACCCGACCCGTAAATTGAATCTCCAAAGGCAAAGGTTGCGTTTGTTCACATGAGTTGGGTTTAATGACCCGTGCCGGGATTTACCGGAGCGGTACACCCGACTCGGAGACATCCCCCGGAAGCGACGGCAGCGGCCGCGGCGGAGGAGGAACAACCGCCGCCATGAGAGTGATTGTGCCTTTACAAGGAGTGGTTCAAGGCCGTGGTGGTTTAGTTCTGGGCTCTGTGATACCTTGTGCTGTCTTCTACTTTCTCCAATTCTACCTGAAACGAAACCGTAGAGACGAACCCAACCCGAATAGTCAGAACTCAGCCTCCTCTCCGGGGTCGGAACCCAACAACTCGGATTCCTCGAGTCCGACTCAGTCGGAGCATATTGGCTTGTCTCGGTCTCTCTCTCGGGTCATTCTCTCGCCGAGAAATTCCGGCGGTCACGTTTCGGTTTCGGGTCGGGCGAATAGTATCCTTAAAGGTGGGGATTCGCCGTACTACGCGGGGCAGAAACGGGTCGAGGAAGATCCGTATGACGAGTCGGGTAACCCGGATGGTATCATCGAGCTTGGTTCAGCTCAGAACAAGGTAACATAAAGTTTCGATTTTTATCCTTTTTTACTTTCCCGCGTCTATGATCTTCGTTTATCATAAGGTAACATTATGATCTTCGTTTATCATAAGGTAACATTATGATCTTCGTTTACAGTTGAGCTTGGATGTTAGCGAAAATTGGATTTCTGAGAATTCAGAGGAAAGAATTTCAATTGGACTGAGCCTAAGTGGGATTGCTTCTTATGAACCCTCTGATGGACTCATGGAGCTCAAAATGGTTATTTACTTAAATTTTCCAACTTTTCATTGATAGAGAAGATATATATGACTTCATGTTGTTTTACTGGTTTTGCATTAATGTCTCCTGTTTTTTGGAGCTTTGTGTCTTCTTGTCTTTGCCTAAACTTTGTGGACACTCTCTTTTGTTGAGACACAGGTTGTGGCAAGGCTCATGTCTACAGCAACCAAAAACGCTGTTTCCTTTGATCCATCGCAGCTAGTGTTAACTTCTGGTGCAGCATCAGCAATGGAGATTCTTTCCTTCTGCTTAGCCGATTCTGGAAACGCCTTCCTTGTTCCAACGCCATGTTCCCCAAGGTAATGATTTCAGTTTCATCGCTTGACTTGACTCTGTTTCTGCACAAGAACATTTTAGCATGTAAGGTTCAAAAGCTGGTCTGTTTCTTTCTTGCAGATTCGATGTGGATGTTAAATGGCGAACCGGAGTTGAAACCATACACGTTCCTTGCAGAAGCTCCGACGGTTTCAACATATCCGTGACTGCGCTTGATCGGAGTTTCTCTCAAGCCAAGAAACGCGGCGTGAGAATCCGCGGCATCATAATCTCAAACCCTTCTAATCCCATGGGAAGTCTCTTGAGCAGAGAAACTCTCTACGCTCTTTTGGACTTTGCGCGCGAAAAGAACATTCATATAATCTCCAACGAGATCTTCGCTGGTTCGATCCACGGAGATGAAGAAGAAGAAGCAGAGTTTGTCAGCATAGCTGAGATAGCAGACACTGAAGAGTTTCTCGACAAGGAAAGAGTTCACATCGTGTACGATCTTTCAAAAGACTTGTCTTGTCCAGGGCTTAGAACCGGCGCTATTTACTCCTTCAACGAGAACGTTCTTGCAGCTTCAAGAAAGCTCACAACGCTCTCACCAGTCTCATCACCGTCTCAGCATTTGCTCATTTCAGCAATCTCCAAACCGGAGTTTATTGAAACGTATGTGAGAACCAACAGGCAGAGACTAAAGAGAACCTACTCTGAGTTTGTGAATGGATTGAAAGAGTTGGGAATCGAATGCACGAGAAGCCACGGAGGATTGTTTTGTTGGGCGGATATGAGAGGATTGATCTCTTCTTACAGCGAGAAAGGTGAGATGGAGCTTTGGAACAAGTTCTTGAACATTGGTAAGATCAATGTAACACCAGGATCTTGCTGTCACTGTATTGAACCGGGATGGTTTAGATTCTGTTTCAGTAATTTGTCTGAGAAAGATGTGATTGTAGTCATGAACCGTATCAGAAAAGTTTTATTCAACATGTAAATCTCAAATCTTTTTAGTTTTCATTGCACAAACAAAACGGAAAATCCCAAAAATTCACCAAAAGAATCCCTAAAAACCCACTTTCTAAGCTCTAAACAGTAAACACTACACTGCACATTTTCTATGCAATCTTTAAAAAAAGCTTTAATCAAGATCCAAATCCATTTCTGATTGATTCAAGAACCTGCACAACCTCTGCCATACTCGGTCTCTTGATTGGATTCTCTGACGTACAAAGAAGTCCTAACTTCATGACTTGAATCAGCTCATTCTCTTCAAACTCTCTCAACCTTCTGTCAAAACAATCAGAAGCAGAGCCAGTCTCCAACAGATCCCTCACGTAATCTCTCAAGATCAAGACTTGGTTCTCCGACGGAGACTCAACCGGTTTTCTACCTGTAACCAGCTCAAGCAGAACAACACCGTAGCTATACACGTCGCATTTCTCACTCGCTCTCAAGCTCTGCTGAGCTAGCTCCGGAGCAATGTACCCAACCGCGTTGTGGAACTTCTTGGTCAGACCGAAACTGTCGAGAACCGGAAGAAACTTTCCTAATCCGTAATCCGATAGCTTTGCCTCGTACCTTTCGTCTAGCAGAATGTTTGTGGACTTCACATTGAGATGAAGAATCGCCGGTTTACAGTCATCGTGAAGGAAAGAGAGAGCCTTTGCGGTTCCTAACGCAATCTGAAACCTTCTGTGCCAGTTTAAATCGGTGTTCCCATGGCTTGAGCTGGCTCCAGGGTAGATTCTTAGGTGTAGATTGTCGTAGAGGCTACCATTAGGAACAAACTCAGAGAGAATCAACTGCATTGTTGAGGAGAAGTAGTAACCTTGGTAAGAAGACAGATTGGGATGTTTCAAACCTCCAAGCCGTCCTATTTCTTGCTCAAACTCTTCTTGGTTTCTGATTCTTCCTAAAGTGTCAAGCTTTTTCACCGCAATGGAAACTCCACCTTCGAAAGACGCTCTATAGACTGATCCAATCGATCCCATGCCGATTATGTTCTCCTTGTCGAGCAGAGCTTTAGTACCCGCTTCCCAATCTTCATACTTTGAAGGCAAGTTCTTGCTGAAAAGAACAAGCTTTCCGATTATCACACCGCTAGAGTCGATTGAAGACGCCAGAGGAGTGGTTTCGATTGTAACTATTTCTTCATCTTTTCTCCTTCTACGAGCTCTTAGATTCAAAGCAAGTACTAGGCAGACGCCAAAGATGATCAACGCAGCAGCAACTATAACAATGATAACTGAAATGCTTAGTGCTTTAGAATTTCTTGATTTTGCCACAGCAGCTCCACGTGCATTGCAGGGAGTCACAAGAGGATCACCGCAAAGGAAAGGATTGTTTGAAAACGCAGAAGATCCAAAAGCTTGCATCTTTGGAACAAGAGGAATCACACCGGAGAGATTGTTGTATGAGACATTGAAATGCGTTAGAGTACTCAAATTCCCAAGAGAAGACGGTATTGACCCTGAAAGAGAATTCTGTGAAACGTCAAGAAACTGAACTCTGGAGAGGCTTCCAAGTTCATTTGGTATACTTCCATTGAGACGGTTTCGATGCAGATCAAGAATCTCTAGATTTGTCAAGTTCAATAGCTTCTTAGGAATCTCTCCTTCTAACTCATTCCCTGAAACATCTCTGCAAACCAACAATCAAACAACAATTGTGAGATTCAAGAACAGTTACAAGCACACAAAAAAACTCGCTAAAACATTGATGAGGACTCACAATTCAAGAAGTACTCTGCAATTGGATATATCCTCTGGAATCTCACCAGTGAGATTCATATTATGAAGATTCAAAACCTGTAGAAACTCCAAACTTCCAATCTCTTTTGGTATCTCCCCATCTATAGAGTTACCTCCTAATCTAATAACCGAGAGGCTCTCCATCTTCCCAATACCTCCAGGGATACTCCCACTCAGCTTGTTAGACTCCAAATCCAAAAGCTTGAGACTTTTGCAACTCGTTACACCGGAAGAGATCCCACCGGTTAACTCATTCGACGAAGCATCCAAAAACTCCAAACTTTCTCCACAGTTAACAATCTCTCCGATCTCCCCACCAAACCGGTTCCAAGAGACGTTGACATAAGTTATGTTCTTGAATGAAAGAACCTCAAATGGCGCTACACCGTGAAACGAATTGCTTCCTAAATCGACAGACCTCAGTCTCTGACATTTCGGTATCTCCTCAGAGACATCACCAGACAACAGATTGCTCCTCACTGAGATATACTCAAGCACCGGAATGTCGCAGATCCTAGGCGGCAACGCTCCGTTGAGACTATTGTAAGAGAAATCAAATCCTTGGAGGTTGTTACAGTTTACGATTGAATCAGGAATCGATCCAGAGAGATTGTTGTGAGAAAATGAAACGAATTTGGTCTTGCCGCAGAGCATAAACAGAGAAACCGGAATCTCTCCGGCGAAACCATTTCTAGACAAGTCGAGAAACCTCAAGCTAGACAATCCACCGATAAACTCCGGGATCGGACCAGAGAACGCGTTGGAGCTAACGTTAATCGTCCACAAAGTTTGCAACTTGAAGTAATCCAACGGTAGATTACCTGTAAACCTGTTGCCAAACAAGTTCAGAACTCGAATAGACTTTAGACCGGACAATCCCGGAGCTAGGATTCCGGCGAGACTTGTGTTCCAAAGAACGATTTTGTCCACGAACCCATCTGGGTTACAAGTGACTCCATTGAAGCTATTGCAGAGGTCACCGTCGGAGACCCAAGAGGCTAAGCTCTTGTACGGATCGTCACTGATACCGTCTTTGAATTGAAGCAGAATGTCTCGTTCTTCGATGGAGTAACACGGAGAAGATAAAATGTAGAAGATGAAATGTACCAAAACCAGAAAAAGATTAACCCTTTTCATAGTATTCAGCTGAAAAACGGATCTACCCAATCGGCATTGTCGGATCTCGGACCGGACCCGAACCCGGTTCGTGAATCTACAGTCTTTCTTCTAGGGAGCTCCAAATTGGGATTCTTTTAAGTAACTGCATTTACGAACTGAAGCCAAGAACTTCGAGAATCTGAAGAGAGATTCGAAACCCAATAAAACGAAAGGGTTGATTTTTCTTGGGATTGAGCTCAAAGCTAAGAACTTTTCAACTGCTGCATTTATTTTTGGTCGTCCTTAACGGCTAGAAAATTTTACCGAGCAAAGTCAAAACTCTCAAGAAACGACAAATAAGGGAAACAATAAGAGATTGAAGAAGAAGTAGGTGCAGTGAATAGGATTTGGAGTTTTGCAAGCTTTGGAGCAAAATGCACACAAAAGAGAAAGAAATTTGCTCAGCTCATCTTGCATTATAGAGAATAGACGACAAGAGAGTGTGACTTGGCTGGAAAGTAAGCTGGTGGAGGAATTAACTTCTCTCTATGTCTCACTCTCTCTCTCTCTCTCTCTCTCTCTCTCTCTCTCTCTCTCTGGCTTCCACCATATGAAGAAGAAGCACGTGCCTGCTTCGCTCATCACCTATATGCATAGACATATATGTATGTATGGGAGAGGAAGGAGAGTGTCTTGCTTGTCTGTACCTTCTACCAAAGCATTTATTCTCTCCTTCACCAACCAAAATGACATTAAATAATAAGGAAATGTCAAACGAGTAAAATAGTTGATAAAAATCTCGAATTTTCTCAAGAAGAAAAAAACAAGTAGTTATGGTCCCATTCCAGTTGTTAGTCTCAAACATATTGAATGTGGCAACAGAGAAACTGTAATACTTGTTCAGAAACTACTAGGAGTTATATTTGTTTTTTCTTGCTATAGAAATAATTTACTTAACTTCTAATCATTCAGAGCAGGTTTCATTTTCATCGGTGAAATGCCTGGGTTTATAATTTTGAAGATCCATAAGTTGAGGTCCAAATCGAACTTTTGGAAACTTATGGGTCTCAAAAAGGAAGAGAATTAGAGACAGGGACAGGTGAGTGAAAAGCGAACGTCTTTCTGTCATTTGTTTGTTTATGTGGTTTCGTTCTCTCTGTTTAACTGTGTTTGTTTAATCATTTTGTTCCTTTTTCCAATTTTTTGCTTGATCATTTTGAAGACTTTTTATTCTTTTCTGAGAACTATTTGACACACAGAAATCATGAAGCACAGAGACACACACAGTCCTCAAGAGAGACACCTCAAATTAATATGTCCATTTTCACAATTGTCAGAGTAAATTATTTACCTTTTGAAACCATTTTCATAAACGTCTTACTTCAGTTTCCCCTCATGCTTTCTGTCGGAAATCTAATCACTATGACACTATTATTTTATTTTATTGTACAACAAGGCGTTATAGTTCAGATGTATTTTCAACAAAAATGTGAACATATTTTCCCAAAAGCCATTTGACCAAAGCCCGAAAGCCCCAACAATGCATAAGTGCGAACTCTTATGAATTGGATAACAAATAGGCGGAAAAGAAGAATTAGATGATCTAATAGATATACATGAAAAGTGGAGGTTTCAAAATTCAGTTGATATATATACAAGAAAAAAAACAGAGAGATTCATTTTCAAATGAGTAAGAAAAAAACAAAACAAATTACTTAAGTAAAGGATCGTGTTAGATGATGTTGATATCTTGTGGTACCGATGGGGCACTTGAATGGTTTGGTGGTGAAAAGAGTTGTTAAAGTATTAGGATTTCAAGATGTCTCTACTTCTTCTGATTGCATCGCACTAAGCTTCTTCTTCGCATAGATTGTGCACACTATAGTCGCGCTCGCAGTTACACAGAAGCCAAGAGCATTCACCACTATCTCCACAACTGAAAGACTGTGTCTCTCGTCTGATGCAACTGCTAATGTTCTTAGCATTATTCCCCTGCAAATTACCAAAAAAAGAAACACCAATCTAAGATTCTGCAGAACATGTCTTAACATAGAGATAGAAATAAAGAGAGGGGCATATACGTGTAGATGGAGACAAAGATCTCAGGAACCATTCCAACAAGAGAGCCTAAGATGTAAGGACCGTAGTGAACTCCTGTCGCTAATGCGCAGTAGTTGTAGATCATGTAAGGGAATGGAGAGACACGGATTAGTGCGACTGCTTGAAACTGATGAAACCAGCTTCCTTCACCTGCAGCTCTAAGTATAGCTGCTTTTTTCGGGTATTGCTTCAACCATTCCTACACAATGACCAAATTTAGAAACAAATGATGAATCCTTCATCTAAATGCTAAAAGCTTCATAAGTATGCAAAACCAAAGAGTGCATAAGATTCAAGTATTTGGGACGATTCTTACTTGCATCTTGTGGAGAAAGAGATGTCCAATTAAGTAAGGAAGAGTGACACCGATCGATGCTGCTGACAAAATCAATAGAAACCCACTTCCATAGCCAAATGTTAGACCGGCCATCCACATGGAAGGAGAAGAAGGAAGAAGAATGCTTGGGAATAATGCCACTGATGCAAAGAGTAGAAGACCCAGCACCGGAATGCTGAATGTGCTTCTTACCCAGTTCATAAATGGAATCAGCTCCTGAAATGCATGATTGATTAAAACACATCAGCTAAAACCATAGGACAACATTGTTAAGCATATAGAGCTCATGAATGATAGACATCAGCTAAAAACATTGTTAAGCAAAGTTTCTAATTTGGAACAACAAACTATATAGAGCTCATGAATGATAGACAAACTTAAAGCTGGTGAAATGCGAATGAGCATAACAACATCAGCCACGCCATAGGCTATGAAATCACAGACAGGAAACATGCAAGACTGCTTTGGAACGAAACAATCAAACATGCAAGATGAAACTACCAGGCTAAATTTGGTAACTTTCAAGCCTATAACCCACACAGAGCTCATGAATGATAGACAAAGAGGCAAATCACAGATGATTCCTATTTTCCAGATTCGGGAGAAACCATCAAGCTAATAGTAGCTGAGCTCATAAATGATCAGCGCCAAAATTTGGGTTTGAATGCTCAAACCTAAAACATGCTAAATCTAAATACACAAAACCCCTAATTTTCGATCATCGAAACCCAGTAACCAGAATCCTTGCGCATTCCGTAATTCCATGAAAATGATCAGATCTTCGGAGAAAAAAACTAACCTTTTCGATCAAAAAAGGACCAATCCATTTGATAACTGCGAAGGCCAATACACCCAAACAAGCGACCAGGGCGATTAACTTCACCCAGAACCAGACAGAGGTCACCGAACCTATCGGACATCCCGATGATGATTCCGCCGGAGATCCTTCTTCTTCATCCGATCCTCCTCTCAATTTCACATAATCTCCTCTTTCGGAACCCTCGGCTCTCATTTTCAGCTCAGGCACCGTCTTATCGACGCCGTCGCTGTACGTCATAGATCGAGCGAAGATGACACCCCCAAAGCAAACAAAAATTAACCCTTGTGCCCAAAAAAAATCTCAAAAGTTTCCGCCAGATTCGTTTGGCACCTCTGTTTTACTTCGGTTTCCCGAGAAAGTTAAAAAGTAACGAGAGAATGAGACCGTTAGATCAAATGGAGATTGGAGAGAGCGAATGCGTTTAGATTTTAGAAGAAGGAGAAGAATCTGAATTATTCGCTTTATTATCTTTTTATTCCAGACTTTTTAAAAAATAATATCATTAGTGGTTTATCTTCGAATTATTAAACCGGTGTCGTCAATTGACACGTGGAGATGTCTGATTTGTTGATTGTTACTAGCTGTTGCCCATGAAGCGCCGGTTTTTAGGCCAGTTGCTGAGTCACTTGCTTTATATTCGCTTTGTCGTCACGGTAGGTTCGTGTATGTGTTTGTTTGTTTTTTTGTTTGATAATAATCGGATCAAACAAGCGGCACAAATCAGATTGTATATATTTTATTATTTTAACAACAAGATGAAAGCAACGTAAAATTAACGAAATGAGAGGCTTTCTGGCTTTCTGGCTTTCTGCATAAGTTATGCAGCATAACTATCATACTATACTACTATTTATGTTAATCAGTAGACTTGCAGAAGAATGAAACAGACTATTAGTTACTTGAAAGCAATACAAATACATTAGACCCTATGAGAGAAACAAGACAATGTAAAGCAACCAAAGTTGATACTTTCAAGCAATTTTTCAACAAAACAAAAAATACATCAAAATAAGTTGGACTAATGGACAGTATATGGGTATATGTAATAGCTATGTTTTCGAAGTTATATATATAATACTATGAACAACCAACCAAGAGCGCATAAGAAGCATTTTGAAAGCCGTGTTTTAAGATACACCTTGATATACATTACACATTAACAAACAAAACAAAAAAATGTAAAAAAAAACACTTGGTGGAGATCGTAAAGATCGGATCCGTCAGGTGATGGTGTATTAGGGTTGAAAATTTACAAAACCAAGCTGAAAAGAAATAGTCGTCATTCGTCAATGAGAATCGCTTGCTGATCAGTATCATATAGAAAGCTGAACTAGTTACGCATAACCTACAGAACCAGTTAAGTGTTGACAGATAGCATTCAGTGTTAAGGGATTCTGATATGTGCATTTTACCATTTCCTTGCTTCCAAAATAGTTATACCATCATTTAAAGAAAAAACTTGAGAATACAACATATCTAAATTTTATAGTAGTCTTGCCTTTTAGGTCAAATTCGTAACGATTTCATGTTGTGTGTAAGCATTTCTCATGAATGGCCCAGTTTGCGTGTAAACAGTTGTCATGAATGGCTCAAAGTGTTTACGCAAAGGTAAGTTTGTAGAAAAAATGGTTGTCAAAAAACCTCTTTATGCAAATGATAATGTTTTTTTGCTTCTGAAAAGGAGGAGGAGGTACATTTGAAAACATAATGGTTGAAGAAAGAATCAGATTTACGTACGCGCACCAGTCATCACATTTCAATCAAATCAGAAAAAGTGATTGACTATCCCTTTGTTCTTTTTTATCTTGTATCTGTTACGTCACCGTCAAACCAGCTAAGCTATCCCCACAAAATAAACCCGGTTCAAATCAACCGGTTATCTTCTCAAACCGAAACCAACTTTATCGTAATCCACAAAACAGCCAAAAAACAAAAGTTGACAACCCACGGCCTACCCCATTATTTCCACACAGAAAAAGCTCCAATCACTACACGCCGTTCGATTATAAAACGATTACGTAATTGCTCTCCATCGAACGAATATCATCAGTAGCTGCATGAAATCTCCCGTGTGCCTTAACACATAGGATTAGGAATTATATCATTTGACCACAAGAATTGCAAAGACAAAAACGTAAAGTACCAAAAAGTCTCTTTGGTTTGGTTTCTGTTCTGTCTTATCACTCTGTCGCCAAAACAAAGAGGTTTCGGTTTCGGTCTCCGATCAAATCACAAAATTCTGTCGGAATCTTTCAGACTTTCAGTGATAAGTACAGTGACAGTATACGTCGCCGGATACGCAAAGCAGAGATATCGACATAAAGCTCTTTCTCCGGCGGGTGGGTTTTTGGTCGGAATTAGGTAAATATCTTATTCGTTTCGCTCTGTTTGGATTCTTCCACTGACCATTCCACTGTGGTCAGTTTGTGTTCTTCATTTGATTCCTTAATGTATAATCCAAACCAATCGATTCAAGTTTTGACGGTGAAGAATTAAGGAACTGGAAAATAAAAGACTTTATCTCTTTTCTTTTTTTGCGCCGTGAGGTCATAATAGTCTTTTCCTTTGTGCTGACCTGGTCTCGACAATAATTAACAAAATGACGCATTTACTCTTGAATTTATACGGCGTCGCATGGGTGTTTTCGATAATTTATTATCGTCTTCGCTTGAGTAACAAGCCAGAATCACAATTTTCTATATCTCTCGATAATCTCTATTTCCTTTATTTTCTCGATCAAAAATCTTTATATAAAAAAAGCACCTAGCCCTAAATTCATAAACTGTTTCTTCATTCAATTCACGTTTCGTCTCTGTGTTTTTGATTTTCGCAGTATCAATACAATTCGAGTTTTCAAAAATTCGGGAGAGATTTTCGATCGATCATGGGCTCCGAGCAAAACGACAGCACTAGCTTCTCTCCATCAGAGCCGAAGCTCTGCGTCAATGGCTGCGGCTTCTTCGGATCTCCGTCGAACATGAACCTCTGCTCCAAATGCTACCGAGACATCCGAGCCACGGAGGAGCAAGCCGCATCGGCTATGGCCGCCGTCGAGAAATCGTTAAAACCCAATAAACCCAAAATCCAACCGCAGCAGAGCCAGGTGATCGCTCCCAGCGTCGAATCTGGGTCGAGCGGCGGTGATTCGGCGGCAGCTTCAGTAGATCCGCCGAAATCGACGGGGACGACGAGGTGCTTGAGCTGCAACAAGAGAGTGGGCGTGACGGGTTTCAAGTGTAGGTGTGGGAGCACTTTCTGTGGGACCCATAGGTATCCGGAGAGCCATGACTGCGAGTTCGATTTCAAAGGAGCGGCGAGAGAGGCGATTGCTAAGGCCAATCCGGTGGTGAAGGCTGATAAGGTCGAGAGGATTTGAATTTGGGTAAAAAATTCGGTCTTTCACTCTTGGTGGTGTTGGTGTTTGGCTCTTTTCTTCTGCTCTCTTGTTATGGTGTGGCTTGCACTAGGGTTTCTTTAGGAAGGTTTAGGTTTCTGCTATTTGATTTCGTGATTTGGAACAATGGATTTATTATTTCTGTAATCTGTAATAAAAATTGTTGGTCGTGTCAGAAAGTTGTGTGTTCTTTTACTGGTTTCTTCTCACTTGAAGAAAGTTGAATGACTTGGAAGCTCCTAATGCTTATAGGAGACTTATGAACAAGTGAGTGGGGGGGGTTTGTGTATAGCTTATGGTGGATAAAGTGTGTAGCTTGATAGTATTGAAACCGAAGGTTCTCTGTTTTGAACCATGGAAGATCTGAGGATGTCTTTGATTTAAGTGGTTGTGTCCTGGATTGAATCAAGCATTGATTTTGCTTACTTCTTCTCTAGCTGGAGAAAGTTTGAATCGTTGGAAGTTGTGGGGACTTAGAATAGGTTGAGTTTGCATATAGCTTATGGTAGATAAAGTAAGTTTATATGTATGGAACCATGGAAGATTGTGAGATGTATTGATTGTTAGGTGATCGTGTCTAGTGATTGAATGAAATCATTGGTTTAGCTTGGGCCTGGCACTATGCTTGATAGAGTCTACAGTTGCAGGGATAATAGCTTGAGAACCTACTTAACCTAATAAGACTTGAGATGTAATACACGGGTCGGGTTTGAAGTTTGAACTAGTCGGGATATTCGGGTTTGTGGTTTGTGAATCCACTTTCGCTGGGAATGTTGCTCATAATATTGCATTCCCTTGGCTTGTATGATCTTGCTCTTTCTGAATCCAATCCTTAAGCTAATGGAATCCAAATTTTCTACTTAACAACAAATGTTGGAATACAATTGCAGATCGTAGTATTTGAAAATGGTGTATTGAGACTCACAAAATTATCTTTGAATCTGATCCAAAGTTTCTCTAGATCAAAACGATGTTTCTCAATTCGGTTATAAATTGTCTACTAAACTGAGGAAGTTGGAATTGAAAATTTCATATCAAAACTAAGATTGCTTACCTACGACGAGGTGTGATATAACTTGTGTCCTTTGGTTTGGTAAACTGTTCTTTTCACTATCACTTTTTGAAGGTAAGATGACAATCATAGGTCCATTTTTCCGAATCTGATCAAACCATCTACCAAAAGCAAAGAGAGAAAAGTAACGCACCATAGTTTTCTGTATAAAATTAAACCTAACAACTAAACATGTAGACTTTATTTTTTTACTTTGAAGCATGTTTTTGTACTTCTTTACTGTTGCCTTTTATATTCTTGAATATAAACAGTAGTGGGAAAATAAAGATCTTATTGCGACATTGCAACCTTCAGGAAACCACTTTCATCCCATAATGCAATACCATATGATCTGACATTGCATCGTTTTTGTATAATTTATGATTTTACCCCCAAGAAAATGAGTCAGTTTCTAACTTTCTATATGATTTTGATTTTGGATTTGGGACCTGTTCTATTTGCGGTTAGCCTTGTTGGATTTACATGTCTAGCAAAACATTGTCCAATATGGTCCATAACAATGACAAAAAATCTTATACCAGAAGGAGAAAATTACAAAACTGGCTTTTTATAATTAGAAAGTAATAATATTCTTGTTGCGTGAAGAGAATTCATGTCAGTGAGTCTCGTTGAGGAAGGCCCCCTACATAAGTACAGATATATTGTTCGAGTGCTTTGAATGATTTTGCCCTCTCTACACATCAATGCTGCAGTATATAAAGTACCAAAGAGATGTAACTACATTTGACAGTTAATTATAAACATTCACATATGAGGTATCGAGATGTGTCAATGAAAGTTTTTCTCAATTCGAATATCTTCACTTTTTTCTTGGCTCCTTAAAGAATTTGAATGAATGGGAAACTTTTCTTTTAATTGGGGGAGATTTGACAAATTTACTTTTTCTATGGGGTCCCTTGAATCCTTTATTGTTGCTATTGCCTTTTTTCTTTCTTTTTTTGCTCCTTTTCAGTCCAAAATCTTTTTTTGTTCTTCTGATCCCTCCTTTAGTTATGCTTTTAAATGAAAACGAATTCAAATCTAATATTTTAAAATCTCATTCATTCAAGAATTTGGTCCTACCAATCACAAATATAGCTCATATCTTTATAGTCTTGTATAAATGTGATTTGACCAAAACCATATCTCCTAACAATATCATTCACGACTACTAATAAACCACATATATAGAAGAGTTATCAAAAACAGATTGATAAAATTAGAGAAGCAAATAAAAATGGTCACACACATGACACATCTATCTCTCGTGACGGCATAGCTCGAATGATCATATAACAGAGAGTCTTTGCATTAATAATGACTCACGCGAAACCACAACGAAAGGTAGTACGACGGGTAAATAACGGGACCAGTGAAAGGGCATTTATGTCAAACCAATAACTCTCTTTGGGGACCCACGCGATGGTTAAGTTTTAACTGTGTCACGCCACACACGATTCCCTCCACTTCACTACCACGGCAAAATCTCTGTCTCTCTGTAATAATTTTTTTTCTTTGGCAATTTTCCCGAGAAGGTTTCACTCCGAGAAAGAAAGAAAGGAATTTTCTCGGGAACCAAATCGAGAGGAAACCGGAAGAAGCTTCTTTGTTTGATTTTCATAGACTTTCACGGGAATTTGTTCGGTCTTTTTTTGTTTTTATGCGTTTGGAGAGGAATGTCGACGACTACAGGAACTGTTAATTACAGAAATGGCACTAATAGAAGCTCTCTCCGAACTCAGTCCTCTGCTTCTACTTCCGGTGGACAGAAGTCGACCCTCAAATCTAAGTCGGTGCTCCGGAAGAGCAGCCCCGCCTCACTCGGCGGCGGCTCTGCGGCAGCTTCTAAATCCGGAAGCGGTGGCGACGCCGGTGGTAAAATCCTCTGTTCATCCTTTCACTCTTTCGTTTTTTTTTCCCCCATTTTTTTTTTTTTTGGAATCGATGTTGAAGAAGCTAGATTCGTAATTTGAATGTCTCTGTATCATGAATTGCTGTTAAAGGTGATTTTTTTTTTGTTTTAATTGCATGATGCTTTAGTTCCTGGGAGGGTACGAGTAGCTGTTAGGTTAAGGCCACGCAATGGCGAGGAACTGATCGCTGATGCAGATTTTGCTGATTGTGTTGAGCTTCAACCGGAGGTACAGTGATATATATACTAAGCTTGTTTCTGTAAAGTGGAGAGCTCAATTAGTTATGTGTTTGATTCGTTAGGTTAAGAGGTTGAAGCTCCGGAAAAACAACTGGGACACTGATACATTTGAGTTCGATGAAGTGCTCACTGAGTATGCTTCGCAGAAGCGAGTTTATGAAGTTGTTGCAAAACCTGTTGTCGAGGTATGTAGTGGACATTCATCTTTTTGACTGTTATTGTAACATTGAGATGATCTTGCTTTCTTTTGTTGTGAAGGGTGTTTTGGATGGTTACAATGGGACAATAATGGCCTATGGTCAAACCGGAACTGGTAAGACGTATACACTTGGGCAGCTCGGGGAAGAAGACGTAGCTGATCGTGGAATAATGGTTCGTGCCATGGAGGATATCTTAGCTGGAGTGTCGTTAGAGACGGATTCTATATCTGTCTCCTATTTGCAGGTTTGTTATATTTCTTGATACTGTTTTTTTAGGTTCTTGGCAAGATTGCTTAGTGTTTTTGTTTGGTTGGTGCAAAATTGCAAATGCAGCTTTATATGGAGACTGTGCAAGACCTTCTTGATCCGGCTAATGATAACATTGCTATAGTTGAGGATCCGAAAAGTGGAGATGTGTCTCTTCCAGGTGCTACATTGGTTGAGATTAGGGATCAGCAGAGCTTCTTGGAGCTACTGCAACTCGGAGAAGCGCACCGGTTTGCTGCTAATACCAAGTTGAACACTGAGTCATCTCGTAGTCATGCGATCTTAATGGTGAGTTTTTTTTTATTGATTCTGATTTTGTTAGGAGAGTTGTTGTTAGTTAAAATACTTGCATATTCATCATCATCAACTGAAAATGCAGGTGAATGTGAGACGGTCTTTAAAAACAAGAGATGGTTTGTCAAGTGAAAGTAGTAATAATGGAAGCTCCCATATGACTAAATCTCTCAAGCCTCCTGTTGTCCGGAAGGGGAAACTAGTTGTGGTGGATCTTGCTGGATCAGAACGTATCAATAAATCAGGTTGAGATTCTCAGTAAATGGACCAAATTTTTCATATTTATCTCTTTTTTTCCTTCTTGTATCTGAATTGGTGTGTTTTGTTAATATGGTTTTACCAGGAAGTGAGGGACATACACTAGAGGAAGCCAAATCTATCAATCTCTCTCTGAGCGCACTAGGGAAATGCATCAATGCACTTGCTGAAAACAGTTCTCATGTCCCATTCCGTGATTCAAAGCTAACTAGATTGCTTAGAGATTCATTTGGAGGCAAGTTTGTTTCTATTGGATCATTTCCAGTTTTTATTATGTTGACTTGCTTTGACATGTGACCTATGATCTCAATAGGCACTGCAAGGACCTCCTTAGTAATTACAATTGGTCCCTCACCACGACATCGAGGAGAGACAACAAGCACTATAATGTTTGGCCAGAGGGTAAGGCCCCAAGCTTTTGACTTCTTTTTTTTGTTCCTGGTTTCCAACGTCTAATATAATAGTTCACTGGTTGCTAGTTCGAATTCTTGATTTGCTAATTTGATGGCTACTTCTGACTTTTGGGTTATTTATAGGCTATGAAAGTGGAAAATATGGTGAAGTTAAAGGAAGAGTTCGACTACAAAAGCTTGTCTAAAAGGCTTGAGGTGCAACTAGACAATCTAATTGAGGAAAATGAAAGGCAGCAGAAAGCATTCGTTGATGAAATCGAAAGAATAACCGTGGAGGCACACAACCAAATTTCTGAGGCTGAAAAGAGATATGCCAATGCACTAGAGGTGAGTTCTTTTTGTTTTTGTTATAACTTGATGGAACCAGACCTTGCTATTGAGATGTCCCTTTCGTTTATCGATCCAGTCATTATATGTGTGTGTAGGATGAAAAGCTAAGGTATCAGAATGATTACATGGAATCAATAAAGAAGCTAGAGGATAACTGGTCAAAGAATCAGAAAAAGCTTGCTGCTGAAAGGCTTGCACTTGGCGAGAAAAATGGCTTGGACATCACATCGAATGGAAATGTAACGTCATTATGATATTTTTGTTCACATTGCAGTTATATTCTCATTAAAGCTGATTTATATATTATCTTGTTTTGTACAGAGATCAATAGCTCCAGCCTTGGATGAAGTCTCTGAACTGAAAAAGTTGCTTCAGAAAGAAGCTCAGTCGAAGATGGCGGCTGAAGAGGAAGTGAATAGGCTGAAACTTCAACTCACTGAATTTAAAAAAGTTGAAGTATGTCTTTTTGGTTCTTGTTTTGGTTTGTTAGTGGATTATTCATTTCTAGTTCAAAGTTTTCACTAAACTATAATTCATTGATTGCTTAGGTGTCAGGAAATTCTGAGATCATGAGACTCCACAAGATGTTGGAAAATGAGACGCAACAAAAAGAGAAACTAGAAGGAGATATAGCAACTCTGCATACTCAACTACTTCAACTGAGTCTTACTGCTGACGAGGTAAAGATTATGGAATATGGAATCTTCGACACATACACACACAAAAGATGGCATGAACTTATCTGAGGGTTTCCTGTTTTACACATTCTTTATATATTCTTGGCAGACACGACGGAACCTTGAGAGACATGATTCAGAGAACACTTCCGGTGTTCATCCAGGAAGTGCTGAGAATCCTCCTGTAGGTAGACTATTTGAACAAGGTAACTTTCTGACTTTTCACACCATATGTTGGTTGTTATCAGTTTTCATTACAACACTAATATATATATATATATATATATGTGACGCCTTATACCGTTTTGCCTTATGAAGTGGGATTGCAAAAGATCTTGTCACTGCTAGAAGCTCAAGATGCTGATGTCCGGATTCATGCTGTCAAAGTGGTGGCAAATCTGGCTGCCGAGGGTTTGTTTCTGCAATCTTCACCATTTGACCTTTATTTTTATTGCTAACATAATGAATAACAATTTGTGGTCTCATTATACTGTTTATTTGTATGTAACAACAGAGGCAAACCAGCAGCAAATTGTGGAAGCTGGTGGTCTCACCTCCTTACTGATGCTTCTGAGAAGTACAGAAGATGAGACTATTCACAGAGTTGCTGCTGGTGCTATCGCCAACCTTGCAATGAACGGTAAAAAAATTGTGGTTCTCATTGGTTTATTTTTTTCATACTCTTATGTACTAAAACCAATTTATACTTGCTTTTTATTAACAGAAACCAACCAAGAGCTGATCATGGATCAAGGAGGTATCGGTTTATTGTCGTCAACAGCAGCCAATGCTGAAGATCCTCAGACTCTCAGGATGGTCGCTGGAGCAATAGCAAATCTATGTGGAAATGGTACATGTTCAATTCATTACTTCTTTTTATGAAAAAAGAATCAACGAGTTAAGTTATCTATTGGTTAAATCCTGAAACACATTCCATTTGCTTTTCGGTGTCACAACAGATAAACTGCAGACAAAGCTAAGATCAGAAGGAGGGATTGCAGCTTTGTTGGGAATGGTGAGGTGTGGACATCCTGACGTTCTTGCACAAATTGCTCGCGGGATTGCAAACTTCGCCAAATGCGAGTCAAGAGCATCAAACCAAGGTAAAAAAAAAGAAACTTATTAATTATCCAACATTAATCTCTTTGACAATATCTTAGACTGATTGACTAAAACACACCAATTTTCAGGAACTAAAAGAGGGAAATCACTCTTGATAGAAGATGGTGCGCTCTCTTGGATTGTACAAAATGCCAAAACTGAAACTTCAGCTATCAGGCGACATATTGAATTAGCTCTGTGCCACTTAGCACAACACGGTAAGTGTGTTCATTTTTACATAGTTACATACATTCAATTAAACACATGAATTTTGCATTGGGTAAAGAATTATTCCATTGTAACGCAATTCTGTGTGTTTGCAGAAGGGAATGCGAAGGAGATGGTGAAGGAAGGAGCAATATGGGAGCTGGTGAGGATCTCAAGAGACTGTTCAAGAGAAGATATAAGGAGTCTTGCTCACAGGACTCTCACTTCAAGTCCCACTTTCCTCACTGAACTCAGACGTCTCCGTGTTGATGTCCGGTAAGCCGGTTTAATGTCTAACTTAACCGAAACTGAATTGCGGAATAAAGGAAGGATTGGAAAATTCTATCGAACTCAAATTTGTCTGATCTTGTTTTTAATCCGGTTTAGGGTGGGCTTGTGGGTTTTTTTGTGGCTTGGGCTTTATTATTGTTGTTGGGTTTAATCAATGTGTATATAATTTTTGGTGGGTTTTGTTTGTGTATATAGACGTAGTAGTGAAAATTATATAACTTATGTTTGGAAATTTTATTCTTTCATATATTTACACATTTTACTATTGGGATATGATATTCGGATAGTTTGTTTTTGATTAATTCGCGTTAACCGGCAGTTAATTCGGCCTCCCAAGTATATAACTATCCATAATTGTTTTATGTAATATTTTATTTTAATAGAAAATATACACTTTTTCTAAAGTTGTAACGTACGTGAAAAGGCACCCATGATAGTCTTCACGCAGTCGTTGTTTCTCTGAGTACATTTAATTAGCTTTTGAATGATCCTTGAGAGTTGTATCGGGTAATGCTGTGTGGTGCGATTGAATAGTGACTCAACTTGCAACGACAACAAGATAGATGCAAATTAGAGACGTGTGTCTATCAACGACTTTTTCGTTAGAAAAGGAAGATTCAAATTGTTTTCTTAACAAGTCACACAAGCGGAGACGACTTTTGAGTTGACACTGTTACATGTGTGAGTCGTGCTCCTCTCTATGTAACCTTAAATACTTATTTACATGTGTGTTTAGTTGTATATTAAGAAGAGTAATGTCTTCAAAATGATTATGCAAATGCGATTTGCTACAACAACGTCTAATACATCAGATATATGATGTCTTCTATTGGCTTGCCACCTGAAGTGGAGTTTCAAAATATATTGTCTATGCTTGATTCTGAAGATGCTAAAGCACAGATTCATGCTATCAAAGTGGTCGCAAATCTGTCTGCCGAAGGTTTTTTTTGTTTTGTTTTTTCAATCTTCATCCGTTGACTTTTTTGCTTGTTTCTCATATCGTTTATAGATGACTTTTATGTATTTTTGGCAAACTATGAGAGAAGAAAAAAATTAAAGATAGATATTTCTGGACATTGACTGCCACAAACTGATTCAATAGATGCAAATCATCAGCAAATTCTGGAGTATGGTGGCCTAACCTTATTGCTAATGCTGCTGAGAAGTACCAAAGATGAGACCATTCACAAATGTGCTGCTGCTGCAATCGCCAATCTTGCATTGAACAGTAAATATAATTTAATGGCGGATTGTCATGAGTTAATTTTCTTTAGTTTATCATCTCATGTTTTCATTACTTTTTGCCAAACAGTTTCTATGTACGCTTATTTTCAGTAACCAATCATGAAATGATCGTGGATCAAGGAGGTATCGGTTTGTTGTCATCAGCAGCAACCAATGCTCAAGATCCTCAGACCCTCAGATTGATTGGTGGAGCAATTGCAAATTTATGTGGAAATGGTCTTTTCAATTTATTTCTCTTTCTTGAATCCACAAAGCTATTCATTGGTTTAAAATCCTGAAAATGTGATTTTTCTAACCACACAGAAAAATTGCTGGCAAGACTAAGATCAGAAGGCGGGATTGCAACTTTGTTGGGAATGGTCAAATGTGAGCATCCTCATGTTATTGCACAAGTTGCTCGCGGAATGTCAAACTTTTCCAAATGCGAGTCATGGTCAAGAGCATCAATCCAAGGTGAAAACCTTTTTAAATTAGCCATTTAAAGAGTCTAACAATTAGTATTATCTTATCCAGACTAATTAACTAAATTCACTATTTAGCAGGAACTAAAAAAGGGAAATCACTTTTAGTAGAAGAGGGTGTTCTCTCTTGGATTGTAAAACACGCCAAAAACGAAACTTTGGACATCAGGCGACATATCGAATCAGCCCTATGCTACTTAGCACAACTCGGTAAGTGTGTGATTGAATATATATATACATATACATACTTTTTTTTTTTTTTTTGAGAAAAGGCTTTCAGTACATATACATACTTAAAACGTGGAATTGTGAAAGTGTAACACAATTTTGAGTTTGCAGAAGCGAATGCGAAAGAGATGGTGAAGGGAAGAGGAAGAGCAATGTGGGAGCTGGTGAGAATCTCAAGAGACTGCTCTAGAGAAAACATAAGAAGTCTTGCTCATAGGACTCTTACTTCAAGTCCCACTTTTCTCACTAGGCTCAGACGTCTTCATGTTAATATCCGGTAAGTGTATTAATATTTTTAATGTAACCTAAACCAAACTGTATTAATACTAATGGATTCCTTCCACATTTCTTACAGGCTGGTGACTGACAATGCGGTTTGTTCTTCAGTGGTAATCGGTGACATGGATCACAACTTCGTCGTTAGTCTTTTACTCTCTTTTTATCTACTAAAACACCGTTAAATACATTAATTCATTTAAAAGAATAAAAGTTTCTTCTTGTGTCACGTCCAGGATAACAGTGGAATGAGAAATGCTCTCAAATTGGTAGCATCTTGCTCTGCCCAAGGTTTCTTTTCTTCTATTTTCCTCATTGATTCAAAAAGAAAATATATTCCAACTATTTTTCGTAATATTGGATCATTGTATATGACCCCATCAGAGGCAAATCTTAAGAGAATCATGGAAAGAAAAAGCTTCACCATGGTGTTACTATTTCTAAGAAATAGTAAAGATGAGACGGTTCAGAGAGATGCTGCTTTTCTAATCGCCAACTTTTCCCTAAGCAGTATGTAGCATAAATAGCCATTAAATTGTGCCTGCAGTCTTCATGTGTTTATTTCTTCAAATTCAGCTATAAACTTTAAACTAAACTTTTATTTCTTTGAGTTATTCTAAGAAACGTACCAAGAGATAATCATGGATAAAGGGTGCATTAGTTTGCTGTGGTCGGCAGCAGCTACTGCTCAAGATCCTCAAACCATAACGATGTTTGCCAAAGCCATTGCCAACTTATGTGGAAATGGTTACTACTTATACACTTGGTCTTTAACAATCTATATTTGGATATTTAGCTTCTTGATTTGATACTGTCGCATAACGCAGAAGAATTGCACATGAAGCTAAGGTCTAAAGGCGGGATTGCAGCCTTGTTGGAAATGGCTGGCCGGAGTGGACATTTAGACGTTTTTGCAGAAGTTGCTCGTGGATTTGCAAACTTCGCCAGCTCCGAGTCAACCATATCAACCCAAGGTAATGTTTTATTCATACACATTGTTTTAAATAAAAAATCTGATCGTGAATATATTTTCGGACAATCAAATCAGTTGATCATATATATACGTTTAAATTGTGGATAACTAGTAACTAATGATCTAAATAACTTTATTTGTATAATTCAGGAGTTAATAGAGGGAAATCGACCTTATTAGAAGATGGAGCGCTCTCTTGGATCATAGAGAAGGCCAAGACTGAAGAAGCCTTGACCATTAGGTTGCATATCGAAATAGCCCTTTGCCGCTTGGCGCAACACGGTATCGTACACAAACTTTAACAGATTCTAGTTAGCGCGGGAAATAAGCACTGGTTTAAATTATAACCGGTACTAGAAGGTGGATTCCGGTTTAACGTTTTTTTTTTTTTTTTTCTTTAATAATTGAAGAAGCAAACGCTGAAGAGATGGTGAAGGAAGGAGCAATGTGGGAGCTTGTGAGGATTTCCAGAGATTCTTCAAGAGAAGACTTGAGAGTTCTTGCTCATCAAATTCTTACCTCAAGTCCCATTTTTCTAACCGAACTTAAACGTGTTTGTGTTGAACTCCGGTTAGTCTTTTACTTAACCAAATCAAACCTAATTACGAGAAGAAGAAAAAGTGAGAATATCTACTTGATCATTATTAATGTATGCAGGAATATTGATGGAGCTTCGATAGATCGTGAAAACAATCTGGAAATGTCGAGATTCGAAAATGATTTACTACAACACATCAACACCATATATGAAGTGATTCTAGAAGCTGAAAAGGAAAATGTTATTAAGGCAACGTACTACAAAGGAAAAGAACAACTCGCAGGTTTATTTACTACATTGATAGAAACGACGTGGGCCGAAGAACTAAAGAGCAAGCTCGGAGTGACATCAAAATGGATAAAAAAAGAGTGAGAAGTATTGACATGTTTCGAAAAGAATTAAATAATTGAAATCACTTCAAAAAGAAAAATGTAGTGATAAATGCATGTTTAGTCTGCCATTATGTGATGTTAACTTGAAATCCTAAGCATTTACCTAAAACCATTTTTCGAATTTGAGCATATAATTCAATATGTATATTTAACAGATAAACAGTATAACACAAATCTCTGTTATACACAAAACCACACGTATGCATATTTGCCTGCATGAAGTTTAAGGTCGTCGAAATTCTTCAGTGATATAGGGAATATACCCTAATTAAACGCATAATTGATATTTATTAAAATTCATATTTACGTTTCTAGAAACGTATAACATAAGAATGAGCATGAAAAGGTCACGAATTAAAATATTAATCAGTTAGGTTGACAACAACAACAAGATAACAGAAATTATCAGCCTACAAAACTTTTTTTTGTCAACTATTAAAGTAATCGAAAGTCAAAACTAAAATCTATTCTGATAAAATGTAATGAACTAATTCTATGGATGTTGAATTTGAAATGTCAATATTTCAATCTTATATTATTAACTTGAAATTTATATGTCATAGACATAAGCTGGCTCGAAGAAGTCTAAACACACAACATCTTAAAAATTGTCACGTTTCTGGATCTTTGGAGCGTTTCTTGAACATTAACGCGCTTACTCAAATATTAGAAGGAAAAGAAAAGAGTAAATCTTTGATTAAAAACGAAAATTTCAGGACTTGGTAAAATCGTTGAGGTGGTGAATAGAAAGTCGTACGGTTATATTAGTTATTAGCTCGGAAAAAAAAAGATTTTAAGAAGTGGCTGTCGTATATTATTAACAAATAGTTTCGATACAATTTTCTGAAGAGTGGTGGTTAATGCGAGCTTTCATAATTTATTTGAAATCTTCAAAAAGAAAAACACGAAGAGGAAAAAAGAACCAGGGAAACTTTTTTACATTCTCAATTGAAATCCTCTAGACTGGTTAATTTCCAATTGGTACTTTGGATCTTTGTCGTTAGAGGATATGAATTTGATATAAAATAAGTCACTATTATTAAAAGTATTAAAAAAAAAAAAAAAAAAAAAAAAACAGTAATGCGGCGTGAGAGAGAAGTGGTGTGTACCACTCCTAATTACTTGTGTGTGCTTTTGGCCTTCCACTTCGTCACTACCCAACAGCTAACCCATACATAGATCATGCTGTATTTATGTCTTATGATAATTTTATTTAAATCTTGTTAGTGTTTTTATTTTAACATGCTATGTGCAAAAGTCAAACCTTCTTTTCTCAGCAGAAGTCAAATCATTAATTTTTTGTTTGAACATTAAAATACATATGCCCTCAAGTAATTAAGTTAAATCTTCATTAATTACTCCTCAAATATGTGGAACATAATTTTTGTTTTTACGAATGATCATATACCATCCACGGAAACGAAAAGCTAACTATATCTATAGACGATAAAATCCATTTCACAGTTAGTTAATGTTTTGATCTGTTGGTTTTATCCTCGAGTTGTATACATTCACTTGGATTAGTCTAAAAGCGTTAGAATATGTTAGAGAGACACATGAGTTCATGAGTTCATCAGCAGACAAAATCTAATCGTAGTCAAACTTGAGAGTGTGATTGCAATATTAATTTTGGACGGCTGAGATCTTACTTAGGGAAGGTCCTCTGATCCGCGAAGTTCTCCTAAAATTATGGAGCTTTGTCAACACTTGTCTGTCATACGGAAAGAGTCGACATTACCTTAATCGTATCTTTTGTAAATATCTCATCTATAAAAAAATATAAACCGGCGATACAGTGGCGGCCTAATCAAATATCAAAATCCATTAAGCATATAAAATATCTGATGACTAAAATAATACGAAAATACATGTTTTGTCACGTCCGAGGAACAACATGCCCCTTGAGAGTAATGGTGCGATCTTTGTAAAAGTTTAATATATAAGTCGATCTTCCCGACTATCTCTAACTATTATTTAATAATCTTTTCAAATCTGTTTGGCATATATACTAATGCAGTGCATACAGAGGTCGTGCGGATATCTTCCCAATATTGGAATTTCAACCTATTTATGATCATCAAAGAAGAAAACAATTGCAAATTGATGAGGTCGAACAATATCAAATCTGAATAGCTTATGGACATGAAAAAGCTGTCATGTAGAAAAATGCTTAATCGGAGGCTGGAGCTGCAAGTTGACAAACAAACTCACCACGATCATATTATCCTATTGGATTAACTAATCTATCGAAAATTGATGCGCATTATAATTATGATACTTACGATATTCGCCCCATTCATGAGATCTCTTCCTTTACTTTAGTTTTAGCAATCTATATACTAGTGATGTCATGTACTTAACTTAATCCTTCCAAGATGATTATGTTTGTTGCCGTTAAAGAAATATCATAATGATCAAAATGAACACGATCATAATTTTCTTTTCATTCAAACAGAATATATAATCGCCGACCGACTGATTAAGTATCTTAATGCATGTATCAAACCTTATCCATATTTATAGCATCCAATAATAGATTTATATGATCAAAGAGAGAGGGAAAACATATTCAAATTTGGCGCCAACGTAACACACTAACAGTCAAAAAGCAACCACCTAACATTGTCTCGACAAAGGCACTCCTTTTTCTGGTTTCCGATTGCAACTACGAAATTGTCCTATAGAAAGATTAGGTTTAGGTTACGTTGCACATATTTAGTTATTTATTATAAGCAGAGTTACCATAAAAGGAATTTTTTTTCCAATACTACGTAACAATCAGGTAAACAGAATAGAGATACTCAAGTGGTAAATGATACGCAAATGATGATTATACCGAATAAATTGAAATATTGTCCTACGAAAATCGAGAATGTATGAGCTGTCTTGCCACGTCAGCTAATTCCTCCACGGGAATTTTCTGTCCATTCAACGTTTCGTTCCTACGAGTTGCTCAAAGGCTGTTTTTTTCTTGTGGGTTGTGTTTTTTGTTCCTTTATGCACATTTTTTTCCGAATTATTCTTGAAGAAATCACACAAAAAGGATTATCATAGAATTAACGGCACCGACCGACCCGACCCCAATTCTGGTGGACCCGCTTTTTTTGGTTCATTCTAATTTTGTTGCCAAATCCATCGTAATGATCTTATTACGTCGTGGTGACGTGGCTCCCTGTTTCCGGTGGAGAATCGTACACCCTTTCCCGCTAAAAACCGACGCGGGAAATTAGAAATACAGCAAACAAAGAAAACAAAAATAGTCAAAATTTTAAAAGAGGCAAAATAATATCGACATATAATAAAGTTTGTATAGTTTTCTTTTGGACGCACGGAGAAGCTCATAAAATCTGTTTAATTTTCTAGCTGTTCTAAGATTCTCCGCCTACATATTTTGATTTTTCGACACATTTTAAAAAAATTCCTCCAGCTAAAAAAACAGTATACAAAATCGGCTGTGGAGTTAGAATACACAATAAATAAGATTTTAATACTAACCAACTCGTCATTAATGTGTCATTAATGATAACTATACATTAATAGCTAGTAAATGCAGCAGAAGCAGAATCAGCTCTGTCCGTAAAGCTTAACGAATAGTTAAATGTCTTTTGCAGCTTTGGTTACTGCAACGCACGTCCAAGGATGTATGAGTGACTGAAATACTTACAGTGAACCCTGTCGTCCACGTGGCAATATCTAAGCCGTCTATGATTCCAGATCGTTAAGACATGTAAATTGCACGTGACATGGTTCTGGTCCTTCTCGAGAAAGTGGCCCTTACGTGGGGCATATTCGTATTTAATGCGAATGATCTACATAGATCCTTACGCGATACACTTTCAAAATTATATTAGCAGTATATGTCAATATATGAACTAAATAATCTAAAAAATCTTGTAACTCTTGGAATCTTCCAACTGTAGCCTCTTTTTGTAAAATCAGTTCATGAAAAAAAGTTGATGAAATCACGCTTATGGACGATCATAAATTTCCAATAAAGATGATTTGTGATATTCCGTTTTAGGTGTGTTTTATTTTATTTTTATTTATAAACTAATTAAAATTGGTGTAAATGAGTAAGTAATGGGTAGGCCGAGAAAATCACCTCCTCGACGTGAGTGTCACGCGCGAATTTACTTTTCTTCCGCTACGTCTGGGCCAATTAAATGTCAGCACGTGACTAACCCCTAAATCCTCTCGACGTAAAGACAGTTTTGCCCCTCACGACACGCTTAAAGTGACACTCTCTCTTGCCAGCTTTTAAGTAGGTCCCTTAAAGATCTTTCTCCTTCTTAAAAGTGCGCCTCTCGATTCGGAGATTCCCAAGATGCTACAAAGACAAATATACCCTTAAAGAGCCTAGAATTCGGAGCCGAATACGAGGATATTATCGTGAATTATTTAGGGGGAAAGTACGGAATTTCGAGAAGCGCGTAGCTCTCACGTTACCACGTTATGAGGTGGGTGAAAGGGTAAGCATTCTCATCTTAGCTATGAAGCGAATATCATTTGACGTGGGACCTTTTGGATTATGACACGTGGCCTACCCTGGCCGTTAGATCGATTATTGTCGGGAAGGATCATACTAGAGTGGAAAGCACGCAAAGGAATAAAGAATTCACTGGAACAGGTGGCGTCCTAGCTGGACAGTTGAACAACCAGGGTTAAGGATCTTTTGACACGTGGAGTTTTGGCTGGTTGGTTTTGTTGGTTTTCTTTATGATGGGATCTCTAACTAATTTCGGAATATTTAAAAGCTAATTAATCCATTTTTGGGGGATTTTTAGTTTCATGTCGAAAGATTAGCTAGCAAATTTATTGAAGACTTCAACGAAAGCTGTACATACGAATTACCATAGTAAAAACATCTTCGTCGAATGATTAAAAGTACGAAGAAACTGATAATCCTCAGAGAATATTTGTTTTGTAAGAATTAACAGTTTATTGTGTTAAACTTTAGAGGAATGAATATTTAGAAACATTCTAAGGTTGAAATAAAATATTAAGAAAATGAAAACATTATAAGTCCAACTCAAGAAGACTTTTAGCATTAGTAACATGCGTGAGACGTGCTACTCCATGTGACTTTTCTATAGTTTTGCAGAGATAAAATTAACAAAGTTATTTAAAAATTTATTTATCTATATATATATATAAGGGTAGTCCAGTGTATGGAAGGATTATGTGAAAGCGTGCTTTGGCCTTTGAATCATCTAGAGAGAGAGAGAGAAAGAAAGAAAAAAAAAGTAACAGTCTTTCAGGTTCCAGAGGGCTTAAAAACGGCACCGGTTTACTTGGAGAGAAACGCCTTTGAAGAGATTTGAGGTGTTTGTTGGTCATCTTTGGTAGAACAAGAAGAAGAAGAACAAGAACAAGAAAAGGGTGAAAGCGACGGTTTGTGTCAAAGAGATTGAGAGAAAGATAGATATGGCAATGAATGGTTATTTGGATGAATATGAAAAGCTTGTGATTAGGATGAACACTCCAAGGTTTGTTTCTCTGTTCTTCTTCTCTTTTTTGTTTTTTTTTTTTACAGTTTTGGTGGATTTCCTAGAGATTTGAACAGATATTAAAGTTTTGATAGAGATTTGAACAGATATTAAAATTTTGTAAACCCAGATATTTAGTCCTCTGTTTGTCTCATCGTTTTCTTTCAGAATAACTTCTGATTTTGTGTTTTCCTTTTCTGTATTATTTTTTCCAATTCTGGGAAAATATTTCCCGGAAAAAAATATGAGAACAATTTCAAATTTTTGATTTTTGAAATTTCAAAAAGTTTCTGGTTCATCGTTTTATTTTACCTTTTTTCCAACAAAAATATTAAATAATTAATAGATTTGCTCTTTCTGTCTTCTTCCTAGAAGATTTTCCTATATCTCTTTCGGCCTCTTTCTTTCATCAACTTGAATTTTTCTGAGGACTTATCTTCTCCAAACTTTAATTGATAATAAATCTTATTATTGAAGATAATTATATTTTTTGTTTGACGGAAATGAGAAAAAAAAGCTAAAACAAATTTGTACATAATCACAGGGTCGTTATCGACAATGGTGTTTGTTCTTCAGCGACAATCGTCAAGGTTAGCATATTTTAAAATTTTCATAACCACAATAAAATCAATACTATTCATTTTTATAAATATTTCAAAATACTAATTATAAATTTTCCTCGATTCTTCTCAGGTTGATAGTGCAAGAAGAGATGGTATATTATTAGAAGCTGTACAAATTCTCACCGATTTGAATCTCTCCATTAAAAAAGCTTACATTTCTTCTGATGGACGATGGAACATGGATGGTAATTGAACTTCAAACCTCAATTTTCATATATATGAAAATATTTAACTCTGTCTTAAATTTATAACTCTGTTTTCTTCTAATTACTGCAGTCTTCCATGTGACTGACTTAAACGGAAACAAACTGAATGAACAGAGCGTTTTGAGATACATTGAACAGGTAATTTCGTAATTTCATCTATATTCATACCCAAATGTCTGAATTCAAGTACATGGTCTAAAAACACAAACTTTATTTGTCTTTATGATTCCACAGTCGATCGAGACGGTTTACTACGGCGAAGACATTGAAGTAAACGGTTTAACAGCCTTAGAGTTAACCGGAACAGACCGGATCGGTTTACTATCGGAGATGTTCGCTGTTCTCTCTGATCTCAACTGCGATGTAGTGGACGCCAAGCTATGGACGCACAACGGCAGAGTTGCGTCTCTGATCTACCTCAAAGACTGTTTCTCAGGATCTCCGATTCTCGACACTCAGCGGATATCCAAGATCGAGGGACGGTTGAAGAACGTTTTGAACGGCGATAACGACATCAAATCCGCTGCAAAGACTTGCGTCTCGATGGACGCGATGACGACGCACATCGAACGTAGGCTGCATCAGCTTATGTTTGAAGATAGAGACTACGAGAAGAGATCCAGGAAGCAAGAGAGATCGCCGACGGTGGTTGTGACGGTTCAGAATTGGGCCGAGAGGGGTTACTCTGTTGTTAATGTTCATTGTCGGGATCGGACTAAGCTTTTGTTCGATGTCGTTTGTACGTTAACTGATATGGAGTATGCTGTGTTCCACGCTACGATCAACACTTCTGAAGACCAAGCTCACTTGGTATGTTTCTTTAAAACGATTCTTCAAATTCTGTTTTGGTATGTTTTCTTGCGAATTTGAGCTTACAGATCTTTGTTAAATTCTTCAGGAGTTTTACATCCGGCACAAGGATGGATCTCCGATAAGCTCAGAAGCAGAGAGACAACGAGTGATTCAATGCTTAGAAGCTGCGGTCGAAAGAAGAGCTTCTGAGGTATAAAAAATCCTCCTCTGAAATCGGTTATTTTTTTTGTTCGATTGGTTTAATGGAAGATCTAAACCGGTTATGTGGTTTTGTTTTGTGATTTAGGGTGTGAGATTGGAGTTTAGACATCCGGACAAACAAGGTTTACTAGCGGAAGTTACGAGGACATTCAGAGAAAACGGTCTGAATGTGACAAGAACAGAGATATCAACGAGTTGCGACATGGCTACAAACATATTCTACGTAACAGATGCGAATGGAGATGAGCCTGACACGAAATTGATTGAGTCGGTTAGGGAGAAAATCGGTTTTGAGTGGTTAAGAGTGAAGGAAATGCCATCTGTGAATCATAAGAAGGGAGATGGAGAAGAACAGCAACAGACTAAAGCAGTGTTGGTTTCACTTGGGAGTTTGGTTTGGAGAAACCTATTCAGCTTTGGTCTAGTCAAATCATGTTCTTGAGCCGATCAAATCATGGGTTAACAACCGAACCACCGGTTTGATTGAGAAATGTCCTTTGAAAAGGCACGCGAACTTTATCTCTTTAAGAAAAGTCCGCTTGCCTTGAGAAAGATTAATCTCTTTAGCGGTGTGGTTTGGTAAATTTAATTCTAAGTTAGGCATTGGTTTGGTCATTATTCTTGTAAATAGAGAAAAAGAGTAGATGGATGATTAGAAATTCAGAGATTGCTTACTCTCTTTTTTTTTTTAATATTGTTGGTGTTTTTAGAAGGTAGAACAGGTTGTACAAATTAAAGTTTCTAAGATTAATTATTATTGTTTGGTTTTTTGGTATGTAAAATTATTATTAGTGGTTGACTTATTTTTCTTGGTGGAGTATTATAATGTTTAAAGGTTGGTCCAGTTATTTAAATCTAGGAAAATTCTAGATGTGGTTATGATGATCTCATATTACGTCCATAAATAAATTTAGTAAAAGCTAGTCGTATGTTCCAGAATATGAAAACTGGAACTTTCCATCATAATTTTCTAACAAGAAAAAGGGACAATAATGGTAGGTAGCCAATAAAACTTTTGGTGGTGATTCACGGAGTAATTGGTGTCTCTCTATTTCCCCATTATTCCACGTTGCTCAATTTCTTATCTATTTTATTACTTGTTCAGAAGAGTTGGTGGTAGAAAGTAGATTCTGTAAATATAGATGTATCATGTATGTCAGTTTTCAAATCCACAACTTTAGAAAAATTCAGATGTCCATCTCCAATCCCAGTATAAAGCAAAGGGATATATATTATATATTTTGGAAATGTTTAAGCCAATGATCCATCATCTTATGTGCGATAATCGTCAAACATATTTGACGTCGTTCTCATGTATTAGGTCTTAGTTGTTGATTAGTTTATGTATCAATATTACCGACAGCTTTTTATATGCTATTACCTCAATTTTTTTCTTTCATATAATATAAAAGCTTGACTTAGGTTTATAATAGCAATTTACTTACACCTGTTCGCACGCCTGTAGATACGCATACGGTAAACTGAATACATGAAGCATGAATCAAACACGAAAACAGGAAGAAAGAAAGCGGATCTAAGAAGAAGAAGACATCTGTTGAGATGTGAACAAACAAACTTGGTTTCAACTATCATACAAAAAAAAAACTTGGTTTCAACTAATAAGCATAGGAAACATTTTATAAGAACACTAACCGATATTTCATCTATTGTATACAAAAGATCAGACAGTCAAGAAAGCATATCTAGAAAGCTTTTGTCCAATCTACCACTCGATAACATATCAATAACCATCTTTATGGTGGAAGCATCTGCAGAGAATCCACATGTCTTCATTTCTTCGATGAGTTCAACTGAAGTGGTTAGGCCACTACCCCCGAGATGTGCTCGGATTAGTGTGTTGTATGTACCACTATTGGTGCAATCCCATCCTCTCCCATCTTTCTAAACAACAGGTCAGCTTCGGACAGTGAGCCTTTCTTACATAGTCCTGCAATCATTACGGTGTATGTCTTAACATTGGGCTTCACTCCTTTAAGAGGAAGGCTACAGAACAAATCCCAAGCATCATCGACCTTACTACCATTGCACATCCCATGTATGATGATATTGTAGATACCAATACCAAAATCCAATTTACTCTTCTCTATTTTCTCAAATATCTCCAATGCATTTTCTAGTTCTCCATTGTCACACAAACCGTCCAACAAAATACCATAAGTTACAGCACGGGTGCACACCACGAGAAACCATCTCTTGGAAGAGTTCTTTGGCAACATTAAGTTTTCCAGATTGAAGAAACCCTTGGATGAGAGTGCTATAAGTGACTGTATCGGCTACCAGTCCTCTCAGAGACAATTTGCGGAAGATTTCCAAACCTTGTCAACTAGATTAGCCTTGCAATATCCGTTTATAAGGATACTATAAGTCACAATATCAGGATCGCATCCCTTGCTAACCATCAGATCAACATCTGACTGGCCTCGTCTAGGCGCTTCTCCATGCACAACCCATCTATCAAAGAATTATATGTAAAAGTAGGAGCTATACCTCTTGCAATCATCTCATTGTACAGTTCTTTAGCCTCTACAAGTTTTCCCTCTTTCACAAAACTGTCAATCAACGCATTGAAAGTGACAACGTTGGGGATGATTTCCTTGTGATCATATCCCTCAGCAACTCTGCGCCATCATTCCATCTACCGTCTTTACAAAGGCCTCCGATGAGAGTGCTGTAGGTGATAACATTGCTTTGATCCCTTTCATTTCCATTTCATTGAAAAGATTGATTGCATCGTCGAGCTTCCCATCTTTGCAAAGACCATCGATGATAATATTGTATTTGGCTGCATGAGCTTGATCTTTCTTCCTTCCATCTTTCTGAGCAAATCCAAGGCCATAGCAGTTTCCCTTGTTTGCACATAACATTTAAAACCGGTCCATAGGTAACTGCATCGGGCTGACATCCGTTTTCCACCATTCGATCGATTAAATCCATAGCTTCAGACACTTTGCCTTTGAGACAAACTCCATTGATGAGGGTGTTAAGCGTTATGAGATTGGTGTAAGCTCCATTGCTACCATTCGATCAACTAACGTCAGAGCTTCGGAAACTCTACCCTCGAGACATAATCCATTCATCAGAGTTGAAAATGTGACTGTCAGGCTCATACCCAAGTTTCAACATCTTTCCCAAAACAGAGAAAGCAAAGCCGAGTTTCCGGCGCCGGCAGAAGCAATTGATCATAATGTTCAGAGAGTAGAGGTCATAAGCAATCCCTTGAAACTCCATTTGCTTGGAGAGATCTAAAACGAGATCGTACTGTTTTGTTTTGGCAATGCCACTAAACAATCTGCTGAAATATGACAGAGGAGGGGACGAGACCGAAGCATGGATTGGAAGAGCTCAACAGCATCATCCGCTTGATATTCTCAAGCCCACTCCTCAATCTTTCTCTGTAAGAGAGATTTCTATCGCTGCTGCTGAGACCAGAAAAGTCTCTCTCGCAGCCATAGGAGATACAAGAGAGGAAATCAGCTGTAAGAGTACCTGAGCTCAGGATACGGGGCTGAATCAATCTCTGAGTAATCCACAACATGTCTTTGTTCCAAGTTAACAAATCTGAAAACCCTAGATAACAACCAGACTCGCTTCTTTTCGATTTCCCTTGTGAATCGATTATTCGGCTTTCACCACAATTATCTGCACATTGAACTTAAATTCGTTAAAGCAAAAGGATTTCATCATCATTTTGTGGATTCTGACTCGGATTTTCGAACCATCGGAAAAGAAGTACCTCATTTTCCTGGGTCGTTGAGGTTTCGATTCAACACTCTTGTTGGATCTTCTTCGCCAAAAAGCGTCGACGCACAGTGATGAGTCTCTGTGTGTAATGTATTGTAGATCGTACCATTTCAATTTCAGCCGGTTTAGATCATTACCTTGATTGGTTTACTCGAGTGTTGGTAGTGCTGCTGTGTCACCGTCACGTTTAAGAAGTGGTACGAGTCCGCGCAGTCCGGTATGCATAAAGCCTGACCGACGGATATCTCACGGTCAGCTAAATTTTCAACAAATCAACAAAAATATAAAACTCTTAGCTTGTTGAAATATGTTTTGGTCATAATTTTTTGGATTGGACGTTGAGTTTTCTACTCGGATGTGAAAGATGTTCTGTGACGGATATTGCCGGTTCATGCTCATTCTCGTTTAACCAAAACATTAAACCGGACCATTTGCTTCGGTTTGTGCATTACTACGCTCTGGGCACTGTCGCTTTAAGAGATTAGCAAAAGTTCATCTCAGCTTCGACAAATGGCGGCTTATCGGTTGAATTTTTCAGGAAAAAGTTACTCCCTTGTGTTTGTACATGTTGAACTATCAAGATAAAATGATTTTCTTATTCGGTACCAATCATCACACAAGTACAAGAACCTCAAGAAGATTGTTAAAAATCTGACATTACACAATGGGAAAGAGAGAGGAAAAAACAACAGATTAACCGAGTCCTGCGTTTTCCTCTTGGCGAGGAGCGTCCTCTTTGATGCGCGGTGGTCTAACGATCTTATCAATAAGTCCATACTCGATCGCTTCTTCTGCGTTGAACCTTCTCATTCTGCTCAAGTCTTTGAAGATCTGTTTTCATCATTCATTCATTCACCATCAGCATCATCATATGCACTCAGAAATTTTCTTGGTTACTAGCTAATATGAAACCGAAACTAACCCTTTCTGCAGGCTGCCCTGTATTCTTGGCTAGCTCGTTGAAGAGGTAATCTCTTATCCTCGACAGCTCTTTCGCTTCGTTTTGGATATCATCAGCCTGATGCAAGTTTCTAGTTTAACAGCTTGACCATGTATATACATATATAATGAAGTGTGTAGAGATTTTATTTATTCCATAACTCGAGAGAAGGATTTTTTTTACCTGACCACGAGCTGCACCGGCTGGTGACTGGAGTGCGATTCTTGACAATGGCATAGCAAAACGTTGACCCTTTCACAGAAGCAAAAACGTTCAGCTTCAAAGTTTCCTCGGAGTCTAGCATATATGTCTGATTCAAACAAAATGTGATAAAAAAAAAAAGAGATTTACCTTTTCTCCGGCAGCAAGAAGAAAACCTGCAAGGTTATAGGCCATCCCAACGCAATGTGTACCAACTGGACTTTTCAAGCTCTTCATTGTATCGTAGATCGCTAGACTCGGAGTAAGCTACACATATACAAATTTTTTATCTTTTACCTTCAAAACTTAGAGAACAAAAAAAAGTAAAGAAGGAAGAGAGAAACAACTCACATCTCCGCCTGGTCCATTGAGGTACATGTAAATCCTCCTGGAGTCATCAAGAGTATCGAGATACAACATTGTTGCTAATATCTGGTTGCTAAACTCTTCATCGATGTTTTGTCCAATGAAGATCACACGCTCTCGATACTACACCAAATATTAAAGTTTCTCAGTGATCATATAAAAAAAAGTATACGAATCATTTAAGTACAAGACGAATTTGACGTACAAGGGCGTTCCATATATCAACCCATTGCCAAGTGCCTTCTTCTCTGTTCCTGTAAGGCACTCTCGGTGTTCCTATCGGCATCATCTTTACCCTTGACCTACTCGCTTTGCCAGTCCTGCAAATAACGCAAAAACCAAAAATTGAGCTTACCAACTTTAGTTTACTTCCCTATCAACAAGCCACATCTCATTTTGCACTACAAGTCTGTAGCTAAATTATGAAAGTCCTCAGATTTGAGCAGCAAAAGGCCTAATTTTTGAAACAAAATTGAACAAGAGGAGAGGCTCAAAGCAAAACCCAAGTCTTGAACTAATTATGCAAAGCAGGAATTGGCATTACCCGGAGAGTAGACTCTTGTGAACTCTTCCATAGAACTCCTTATTCAAATTCTGATACCCTCTTGTCAAAAAGCCTGAACAATTTCGAGCACAGCAACACGAAATTATCAGTTCCTTCGCGCATTCGCACAGACCAATTCGATTAAAAACAAAAACTTTCGAAGAGATTAAGAATTAAAGGAACGAACTTGCGGATTGAGGCTTCAATCCTGAATAAAGCTTGATGCTACAGCTGCAAAAACCACACACACACACAATTCAAAAAAAAAAAACAACCAGATGCGAGTGTGTTTGTGTGTGGTATATATACAATCAGAGACATGAGTATGTAAATTTGAGGGAATCGAAGATTGCCTGGGACTCAGAGAAGGCTGATGAAGGGTTGTGTTAAACGAGACCGCCATGCTCGTCGAGCGTGTTAGGACCGAACACTGAATTTGTGTTTTGTTTTTTCTATTAGGCCTAAGATGGGGAAAAAATTTACAGATTGGGTATTTTATTTTGTTGAAGAAGATGGATGAGTTTATCAGCTACACCGGTTTGTCTTAACCGATTGGTTTACATGTGCAATTGCATTTTCTTCAATTTAGTTTCTGATTTTAGCTGGTTTAATGAGACAACAATAATATGAACTTCCGAGTTCTCTGTTCCCTGAACTTGTTTCTGTAATAGAGTTTCATCTCTGTTTAATCATTTCCGCATTTGACGGTTGAGACGTACTTTGGTAGTTGAATTGCAAACCAACAAATGCCATGAATCCGATTGATTATAGAAGCAATACAGAGAAACATTCTCAAATTTTTAGCTTGTAATTTTGAGTCTGTTTCCAACAACACCAACATCAATACATCATATAATTTGAGTCTCCAACTAATTAACATAACCAGAGAAACCAGACTGATTCTAAACTCATGTTCATTATAAGCATGAGTTTTCGAATCTTGCACAACTCTTCTCGATCTTATTAAAGAACAAGAAACATTTTTATGTGATTTTAAGTTAAGTAGGCTTCTCGTAAGAGTTTTGATCTCTAAACTCAGCAATGGCGGCGCGAATCATCTGCTCAACCTGTGGTTGCACAAACAAGTGAGTAGTGTCGAGAACATGAATAATGAATCTCTGAGACGGAGCCAGCCCATTGTTCATGTTCACTATAAACTGTGCCATCGGAATATCACTGCACACAAAAGACCGAAAGAAAAAAAAAACGAACTAATCATAACTTCAAATTGTGATCATTTTCTTTTAAAAGATTTTGCTTGGGAAACGGAAGAGAAGAGTTACCAGGAGATGAACACTCCTTTAATGGCATTAACCATTTGAGAGTTAACTTTTCTTGAAAGAAGGAAAACCTGTCAAAATCTGAGTTCAATTTTCATCAAAAGAGAGAGACTCCAATAACCTTCTTAAAGCTTGTTTAAACAGACACCAATCATTTTCAAACTCAGAGCAAATCATATGAGCAAAAGAAAGCTTAATCCTTGTTTCAATTCCAACATTTAGAGGGTTTTCGCTAGCTAAACATCTCAATAGAGCTCGAATCACAAATCTAAGACGTTACGGTAATATATCCCAAATACAACAACATCTAGGTCAAGCAATTCGGTCGTCATATCAATCTCTGTATTTTGAGATCGACTACAGACCTTCTGAAACCACACACGAGGAAGATCGATGAAACCTTACTTGTGAGAAGATGAAGAAGTTTGCGAGAGAGAGAGAGAGAGAGAGACGGAAATTGACAGAGATTCCTCTGGCTCGACGACGAGGGACACAGACGCACAAGTGAAACTGAAGCAGAAGGTTCTAAATTGTTAAGTTACTTAAGTGTTTGACGGTCCTCGTTTATTACATCACCCAAAAGGGCCTTTCACTTTTAATAAGTTTGGATTACAACAGAACCTTTTTTGTTCAGTTTTACGGTTTCTGTAATAAACCAGCAGTTTACTAGCTTGATTGATTTTAAGACAGTTAAAAAATCAGGATCTGAAAATGTTTCTAAGAAAGAAAAGTACACAAACATTTCTGCCGCTAATCATCTTACAAAGACATCAAATCGGTAACAAAGTAAAAACACATTTCCATTCTTTTTTTCCATGTCAAAGACCACGAACACGGCGCTGTATCTTTAACCGCAGGGGTCTAACAGATGAGAAAACCGAAGAAGATGGACCATGTTTCATCAATCAGTCCTCGTAATCATCCAGCGCCGAATAAATCATCCTAAGAGGAAGACAAAGTTGCAGACAGAGAAACTGTTTTAGCTCTCTTGATAGGTTAAGGCAAAGAGAGGGATTATAAAGATGGTTTTCTTTTTCTTTTACCAGAAGATAGTGAGAAAGAGGTTAATGACTATGTAAGCAAGCTTGATCAGCCGTTTCTTCTTTTCCCAGTGAAGCAAATTGAAGATCTCCGTGACATCTATCAAGTGTTGTCGTTTCGAGTATCTGAACAATACAGAAACCGAACGTATATCAATCAAGACATCAACATTTCATTGGAGCAAACTAGTTGTCAAAAACAAAAAAAAACAGACTTACAGTTGGAAGTTGTAGTAGAGATAGGGGAGACATAAAAGTGCCATGAACCAATGTCCTGTAACGAGAAAGAATAAGCATAGAATTCCTTGAACGACGAATTCCGGTAAAACTACAGAGTTTATTCTCGATGCAGAGTCGTAAGGGTTGATGTAATCAAACTCAAGATCCGCTAAGCAAACAAGCTGCAAATGAAGGAAAAAAATTGATAATTTAGTTTCCTATAATATAAATTCATAATTCATTCATAATTCATTTACAAAGCTTATCAATCTCAGTAACTCCTCTAATCTGAGTCTAAATTCAAAATCACTCAAAGGGTTGACTTCATTACATCGACATAAAAGTGTTTCGAGGAGCTAATACACTAATAACTGAACCTAAACTAACTGCTTTGGTTACAAACATTCCCATAAATTGAGCTTTTTTCCCCTTGATTTCATGTGGCAAGAACATAAATCTCTAATTTTTAGTAAAATCAGAGACTACCCACCAGTTTCATCGATCGAAACGGAATATGTGGAATTGTAACCGGCAAAATTCGATAAGAAAGTAGAGAACTTTCGGGTTTAATTTTTGGGTAAAATTGAGAATCGGATCAGTTACAAACCTGATAGACGATGATTCCGACAAGACCGATGAGGAAGAAGAAGGAAATAAGCCATGTCCAAATATCTCCCATCTGGCTCCGACAATTTCCTCGGATCTATTCCGCTGTTTCTTGCTCTTCTGTCTCCCTCGCACTAAAGTTCGATGAGGAACAAATAGAAAATTAGGACATCAGATTTTCGGGCAAGTTTCGATAGTTCAGTTAGGCCTCTTCAGTTTCGAGATTCTGATCGGGAAACAAAGAACTGGTGCGAATAGACGGCACGAGATTCCCGGTTTGCTCTTTACCGATGTTCCGGTTCGATTCCCGGTTATAATCGATTTCATTATATCACCTGAAATTACCATTTCATAGCGGTTTGATGTATAGGCCTTTGGGCCTATATAACTCGTTTTGGGTCAACGGCCTGTATAATTCGAGACAGACACAATAAAGCAGTGTAAGTTTTTTTGGTCATCGTATTTTTTCAAAAAAAAAATATGGGACCCAGAAAAACTTTCAATCATGTGATTGGTAAAAGCCAGCTGCTTCGTCTTTTTCATATATTTTCTGTCTTTCTTCCTTTTAACAAATTATATATACAGTGATTACATGTTTACCAAATACAATACATCATCTATAACTTCACTTTCATCATAATTTTTCAATCTACATGATAACTCTTTCTACCACTATAACTGGTACACGATGGCCAATTATTTACTTTCACAAACAGATTTTTTGAGTTTTTACTTTATCTATCTATCAAATAATAATGTAAACAAGATTGACTGGGGATACGAAAAGAAAATTTAAAGGTTAAGGGTGTAGGAATAAATTGATACTTCTTTTTGAAAGGCTATGCTAGTAAAACTATCTAAGTATTATATAGTTACTATCGCTATCAGTATAAAAGATGGCCTTAGTTTTTATTTCAATTATACTTTCTTACATGGTATATTAATTTCAGTTCTAAACACGATATAGACATAGTGGAGTGGTTGAGAAAAGAAATGCTCGTACAAGCTTGTGAATCAAGCAAATTACGTTGTCTCAGTAATAATTAATAACAGTATTTGATTTAAATGATTGGGGTCTTGATATCAAGAATTTGTCACTTGTTGTAAAACGAAGATTCAAATAAACTGCGACTTATTTAGCTAAAATATGCATTTCGGATAAGTAATAGTATCATTACATGTAAGAAAATATATACCTTGTAGACTTGTGTGTAGATAAATAATTCTCTGATCAAGTTTCTGAGACCATGGAGTTATCTTATGATGTTTTTTATACAGTTCATGCATCACATTTTAACCGGATTACATCGTACAAATATTGATATTACAAATTTCGTTTCACAACATGGATTTTGGGTGGTTGGTATGTAACAGACAGGATAATTCTTACAGATAGTACTATCCATCTTTTGAGATTGGACTGATCTAAATTCTCTGGTAAGAAAAAATGAATTCTGCCTAATATTAATTATTTTTTGCATAGATACAAATATGGGTGGAATTTGAATATTTAGAGCATAAATTTCATGGACATATATATAAGCATGCATACATCATAAGGTGGGAGACAGTTGTGACATGTGGTTTTATTGACATTAGATATTGACCAATTAAAACTTGACTCCTACTAACCTCCACTTGTTACTTTAATTATTGTTTCAACTATCTTAATTTTTGTTTACAATGTTTTTTCATTACATTAGGTTAAGCTATGCGTTATTCATATCAATTTTTCGAAACGTTATTGACTATTTTGGAAAAATATGACACTGGGGCAAAGCTAGTTCACAAAACTTTAACCCTCATGGTTTAAATAGTTTTTGTGATGAGAGGTGGTTAAATCAGAATGAAGGACAAAAGTTTTGATAATTCTTGTTTTTTATAATAATTTCTGATGTACTGAAATTGAAATGCATGTGTATCTCGTTGGCATGCATATTTGTTCATATCCAACTCAGATTTATTTGATTATCGAGTAGATTCAACTAAGCAAGTACTTAATATAAGATTGTCTAGTGAATTCTACGAATGTTCTGAAGATTAAGCTTGTTACTAAAGTACTTTTGTGATATGTTTAAGTTTAAGTTTTTAAAGAGAGAGAGATGTGAAAGTTGTGAAGAGTACAAAGGGGTGTTGTTATACATGACTTCAAACAGCTAACGACGGTCATGGGCTCATGACACTCATGATTCATGAACATTCATACAAAGCAAATGAAAAAAGAAAATTAAGTAACCGAACCACCATATGTGTTAGAGGTTAACAAATAAATGTTTTAGCAAATGGTATGAAGTAGGAACAAATACTGTCGGTAAAAAAAAAGCTCCAAAATGCTTCAGTCAAATTACAAAACAACAAGTTTCCTTCCTTCAACTTTCAAGACAAGATAATTTACGAATAAATGTCCTTTCTGAGTCAACACATATTGGTCAACACAACACACACTCTCTCCCTTAATGTCTTCCACTGTCTATCTAGAAACAAAATTTAATTCTCACTCTCCCTTTTATGCCCAAATTCTGAACTCATCCCACGTAGACAAGAAGACACAAATGGAAATCCCACTCAACAGTTTTCATTTGTAACGAAATACAAAAAAAAAAAAACTCAATTGTCTTGAACATTCATGTAATTTATAACTATATACAAAATTAGGATGATGTACACCGAATTCACAGTACTTTTATCTGTTGACAACAAAAACTTCACAGTTTCATGTTTATACATTAGCTGTCGTACTAAAATATATATATATCAATGTATATCAAAGAGAAATACGAAGTAAAAAACAGTTGTTTACTTTCTTTTGGACTTGGGGATAAATTAACCGTCTTGTCACAATGCAGATTCTTTTGCCATCAATATTTTTCTACCACCAGTTAGATCGTTCAAAATTATTAAGACACCCAAATTAGATTTTTACCCAAACTAGATTACGAAAAATCTTAAATGTTTGATACTGCACAAAGGAGTATATAGATTGCGAAAATCTAAAATGCATTAAATTAAGGTCCCAAATAGTTCCAATAACAAAAAAAAAAAAAAAAGCAGGAGACAAGAAAAGAAAAGGGATTTTCGAAAGAAAAACAAAACAAAAGTCCCAAACCACATAGAGCGCGTGAAGGAAACGTTCCAATGATGGGGAAGTGAGAGAGTGTTTGAGCCAATGTAACGTTTGGGTTCTCGTACGACGTGGGACTCTGCTTTCACCTTGTTCCTTTCAAACGTCCGTTTCTACTCTTTCCCCACGCGCTTCCTCCATGCGCGTGTCCTTTACCTCCTTAACTCTCTCTCTCTCTCTTTCTCCTTTTCTTCTCCGCTGTCTCTTTCTTCGAAAAATCTCTCAGACAATTTAGAGCAAAACAGCGAACAGTGAAGAAAGAGGAGACATTAGATAGGGGGACAAGAGCTCAAAACTTCTATCGATCGCCGGGAAATGGTTTTGACTCATCGCCGGGACGTCGAAGCTCGTCGTCTCTCGGCGGATTTTCCCGGCTAAATAAAAATGTCACACGTTTTTTACGAGGCAACTCTCCCGCTTAAACCCTTTTAGAAAGAAAGAAAACAAAAAACCAGATTCTAATTTTTTTCCTCGAAATTTCCGATTTCTCTTCTTCCATTTCGAGTTTTTAGAAAATGGCGACGACGAACGCTCCCACGGCGGCTCAGCAGCAACAGCCAACCCCAACGCCAACACCTCCTCCTCCTCCTCCGGCGACGGCGATCGATGGGTTAACGACGGACGAGCTAACGGCGAGAGCTCTGAGCAAGAGATACGAAGGTTTGATGACGGTGAGGACTAAAGCAGTGAAAGGCAAAGGCGCGTGGTATTGGACTCATCTCGAACCAATCCTCGTACGCAACACCGACACTGGTCTCCCCAAAGCGGTGAAACTCCGCTGCTCCTTATGCGACGCCGTTTTCTCCGCCTCTAACCCTTCGCGCACCGCCTCCGAGCACCTCAAACGCGGCACGTGTCCCAATTTCAACTCCGTCACTCCCATTTCCACTATCAACCCTTCTCCTTCCTCTTCCTCCTCAACTCCTCCTCTCGTCGCTCACCTCTCGTCGTCACTCAACCGGAAGCGAAACTCCTCCGGCGGCGCCGTCACCACCGCAATTCCCTCTCGGCTCAATCCGCCTCAGACTCCCATCGGAGGCTCTTACCACGTGACGCCGATTACCGTCGTCGATCCTTCGAGATTCTGCGGCGGAGAGCTGCAGTACGCTACGCCGCATTTGATGCTCTCCGGCGGAAAAGACGATTTGGGTCCGTTAGCTATGCTCGAGGACAGTGTGAAGAAGCTCAAGAGCCCCAAAACGTCGCAGACGCAGTCTCTCACCAGATCGCAGATACAATCAGCTCTGGAATCCCTCTCCGATTGGGTCTTCGAATCTTGCGGGTCGGTTTCTCTATCGGGTCTGGAGCATCCAAAGTTCCGAGCTTTCCTGACCCAAGTCGGATTGCCAATCATCTCCAAGCGAGATTTCGCCACCACGAGACTCGACGTGAAGTACGAGGAAGCGAGAGCAGAGTCCGAATCCAGACTCCGAGACGCCATGTTCCTCCAAATCGCATCGGACGGCTGGAAATCAGGAGAATCCGGCGAGAACCTCGTCAATCTGATCGTGAATCTACCCAACGGGACGAGCCTGTACAGAAGAGCCGTTCTGGTGAACGGAGCTCTGCCGTCTAACTACGCAGAGGAGCTTCTATTGGAGACGGTGAAGGGCATTTGCGGAAATTCACCTCAGAGATGCGTTGGGATGGTCTCTGATAAGTTCAAGACGAAAGCGCTGAGGAATCTCGAGAGCCAGCATCAGTGGATGGTGAATCTGTCTTGTCAGTTTCAAGCTCTCAACAGTCTGATCAAAGACTTCGTAAAAGAGCTTCCTTTGTTCAAATCCGTCTCGCAGAACTGTCTCAGACTCGCAAAGTTCATCAACAACTCGGCGCAGATACGAAACGCACACTGTAAGTATCAGCTGCAAGAACACGGCGAATCGATAATGCTTAGATTGCCTTTGCATTGTTATTACTACCACGAGGAACAGCAACGTGGTAGTAGAAGTAGCTGTGGCGGTGGTAGTAGTAGTAAAGTTTGTAACTTTGAGCCGTTGTTTAATCTTCTTGAGGATGTGTTGAGTTCCGCTAGAGCGATTCAGTTGGTAATGCATGATGATGCTTGTAAAGCTGTGTTAATGGAGGATCATACAGCTAGGGAGGTTAGAGAGATGGTCGGAGACGAAGGGTTTTGGAACGAGGTGGAGGCGGTTCACGGTTTGATCAAGCTTGTTAAAGAGATGGCTCGGAGGATAGAGGCAGAGAAGCTTCTCGTAGGGCAATGTCTCCCTCTATGGGACGAGCTAAGAGCTAAGATCAAAGATTGGGACTCTAAGTTCAATGTAGGAGAAGGACACGTGGAGAAGCTAGTCGAGAGGAGATTCAAGAAGAGTTATCATCCGGCTTGGGCTGCTGCGTTTATACTCGACCCTCTTTACTTGGTAAGAGATAGCAGCGGGAAGTATCTCCCTCCGTTCAAATGTTTGTCTCCTGAGCAAGAGAAAGATGTTGATAAGTTGATCACAAGGCTTGTGTCTAGAGACGAAGCACACATTGCGTTGATGGAGCTTATGAAGTGGAGAACGGAAGGGCTTGATCCAATGTACGCGCGTGCGGTTCAGATGAAAGAACGTGATCCGGTTTCGGGTAAGATGAGGATAGCGAATCCTCAGAGCAGTAGGCTTGTTTGGGAGACGTACCTTAGTGAGTTCAGGTCACTAGGGAAAGTTGCGGTGAGGCTCATTTTCTTGCACGCCACTACTTGTGGGTTCAAATGCAATTCCTCGCTTTTGAAATGGGTGAACTCGAACGGGAGGTCTCGTGCGGCTATAGATCGAGCTCAGAAGCTGATCTTTATATCGGCGAATTCGAAATTCGAGAGGAGAGATTTCTCGAATGAGGAGGATAGGGATGCAGAGCTGCTTGCTATGGCTAACGGTGGTGGTGATGACCATTTGCTAAATGATGTTCTTGCTGATACATCTTCGGTGTGACACGTTTTTAAGTTTGAATCTCTTTCTTTTTGATCAGTTTTAATTTCAGCTTAGTTTTTGGCATTTGTTAGGATTGTTTTGAATTCTTTTCTTTCATTACTATCATTAATATTCAATTTGTACTTGGTTCCTTTAGAAGCTGAGAAAGAGATCACTTATCATCGATATGTGATTTGAGTATTTGTATTTCTGTAGCCTATATATATATATACTACTATATTATTTTCGGTGATTTGGATTTTTAAAGTTTAGTCTTGTGACCATACTTGCTACTTCCATCATTTCTCGTATGGCATAGATTGGTACTAGCAACCCTTTTTGCTCGATGAAATTTTGTGAAACATGACCATCCATGTATCGGTTAGAAGTTAGAAACTCTAATTAATGACAGCTTTGGCTTCTTTCTTCTGTTGGTACAAAGTGTAATGATCCTTCTCGCTTTTTCATCGAAATTCATATTCCTAATCATGACCTCAAAACATGTCTTTACTTTTTGATAAAAATGACTTAACTTTTGAAAGTTTAATGTTCTTTCTTCATGATAACGTTTGTTGATGGCAATGACACACTAAAGATTGGATACTGTCATCTAGAGTAGCCGAAGAACAAAACCTGATTAACGGGTTTTGATTTCCATCTAACTATGATTATGATAATGATTATGCATTTATGCATTTATATATCTAAGTAACTACCAATCGGTCCGATCTATTTTCTAACTCTGATAAGAACAAAAATGTGGATCCCATCATGAAATTCAGTGGAAGGTTACTGCATCGAAATCATAGTTTTTGTTGTCGTGTACGAGTTCATTTTCAAGCTGTGGAGTGAGATGTCAAATTACATATTTTGAAGAACAATTCTAAAACCCTACACCCTCAAATCCTTAATCTTTGTTGAGAAAACCCTCTTTGAAACTTTATGTATGGATGTAGGTACTTATACAAGTCTTGTTACTCTTTTATATAGCAATTGTGAATTTGTGATAATTAATTACCCGTAATTTTCAGACTAAAAACAAAATATAAGAATAATTACCCATGATTTCTACAGGTATGAATAGTTAAAAAGGTTGAATTATTTCCTCTTTATTTGTATGAGCCCATGGTTTGTACTACTTTGTGGGGTATTTTTTGTTTTTGAAAAGAAAATCTGTAACCCATGATTTATATTCTTGTAAATCATAGCTTTATCAATAGTACCATAATTTGAAATCTAGTGGCAAGATTTCATAAATGGACTGACCGGACAGCTAAAGTGAAATTACACAAATTAAGTAAAAACAGGGAAAGCAATGAAAAAACAAACAATTATTTAGAAATAGTAAAGAGAAATACAATAATTTAGATGCTATTTTTCCATTTAAGTTATAGACAAATAGAGAAGTCAAGTACCTCTTTTTTATGTTACGCAATCACACACATGCATACACACATATGCATGTATATATGGACTACATTCTAAAGCACTGTTATATTTAACAAGTATATTTTCATACTAATGCTTATTAACTAATCCATTTGAAAGTTGAGTCTATAGGCTATTGATTGAAATCATTGAATAGAAAATAGGTTTTAACTTTAATTATTTGACAAGGAATCATTTTTTTATTAAGGTGGTAATTTTAAGTTTTTAACTATACCGAACAAGGGGGAACCCAAAAAGTAGAAATCAATAATTATATTTATACCCCACAAATAGCAAAGTATACTACTTTTTTAAAAATACACTTTTTATTGTTTTTTTCTCCTTGTATAACTTTGAACTTTCTAGCAGGCATTAGATTCACCTCAACCACCTCCTCTAACAACAAATTAATCTCAATAAGATAAAAACTTTAACCAGACAATTAACAAAAACAACACTTTAAATAGAAAAACAGTGTCTCTCACTTTTTCTACTTGTACTGATGTACATCAATATTTAAAAGAAGATTGGAAGGTATATGCAATAACTCGCAGTTCGGCTATGGTTTTGAGGATACAAAATCAGTTTTTATATCAAATGATTTCTTTTAATAATTAGAATAAAACTTTTTGATCTATACTGAAGTAAAATGTTAACAATATATATATTTTTGTAATTATGTCGTAAAAGAAAAAGAGATTGTAATTATGTACTGATATAGTTACAACCTAAAAAAAGTCATTGTAATTATTAGTTTGGTATTTTCACCATTTTGGTGGTGAGGCAGATTTTCCTGTCGGCAATGCTGACTTCTCACCAAATCTCTCTCGAATTATATGAATTTGTATTTGTATTTGTTTTTTTCTTGTTGAGTTAAAAGGATTAAAAAAACCTAAAATGAGTGAGTAAACAAAACAAAGAAATAAGTTGTAAGAGGAAAGTATCTTCTTCTTTTTTTAAACCACAGTATCAAATAGCCACGCCAATGTTGTTTTTTTTCCTCCTGTAACAATTTTTTTTTGAATCTAGACAATACGATCGTTTTAAATACATTTTGTTTAGCTTTTCACACATCACATATTCACATATCTTGTTCTCTTTAGTGGATAGTGGATAGTGCCTATATACTATAATAATTTTCGAAGAAACAAATACAATGGTCTACTGTCTACAGCCCAAACTAAATATTTTTGGTAAAAAAAAAGAAATGTCTACAGCCCAAACTAAATATTTTTGGTAAAAAAAAAAGAAACCAAAATCTAAAACAAAATACTTAAAGCAGTTGATTTCGCTACTAACGAAGAAACACATGGCAAGATCAGTGGCTCAGAGATCATTGCGTTCGTGTGCGGTGGCAGCTTGATTTCCGTAATCCACTGCCACAGATACTCCATTCTAATAAAGACACGTGTCACTGTAAACTTCGAGACCGAGAGAGTACGTTGTCGGAGAAGCAGTAATAAGGAAAATAAGACTTGTGATGAAACTACGTCGTTGAACTGACAGAATTCTGAATATTTCATCGTGTCTTCTGGCACGTGCGGTCAAACTGTCTTTTATTTGACCGGAATGTATATCTCCATAGTTTATGACGCAATACTTCTCCCCCGAGTGACGTCATCTCGAATTTTGTAGATACACATACTCAGATCAAGATAACAATATTCTTCAACAAAACTGAACGCAACATTCTATTTAATTAACACTAGATATTACTCCGCAGAATAATAAACTGAAATCAATGTAAATTATGAAAATTATGCTACGTCTCAAAAAGGTTTAAGAAAAAGATCAATACATAATGTCAATATTAATATTTTGTAGAATCGCATATTATAATTTTTTCATGAGTGTCTTTCTAGATAGTTACAATTCCAGTACAATTGTTTCAACATATAAAACATCAATATGCGAAATAAAATGGATATGACGAATAATAATTATAACTAGTCAATTCTGTTTCCGAAGAACTGTTGTTCTCGTAGCAAAAGTTTCTGCCTGCAGCGTAGTTCTTCCATCAAATCATGGGCATCGCGTCGAATGCCATTAACCAAGTCTGTTTGGTCTTCCCTGAAAGCGTTTTCCCCTAATGTGGCAATTCTCACCTGTTAGAATCAACCAACCAAAAACCATGTTTATGAAAACGGTTAGCAAAGTTTCTAATCGTCCGGTTCGGTTATGACGATTATGGTTATATAGAAAAGCAGAGAGGGGTTCGAGGGTAACTTACTCGTATACACACATCATCGACCCATCGAAGACGAGTGGCAAAAGGGATGGCATCAGCATCTTTGCCATATATTATCTGCATTAAGTCACTCAGGTCCCTACGGAGTGTATAAAGGACATGATCTTGACTTGACATCTTAAAGAAAGCACTACAAAATTCCACGAAAACAAAATTTAGTGCAAAACAAACAAAGATTTAACTTAAAAATATCCATATGCCAACACCACTCGTTTTCTTACTCTTTTATAGCAAAGGCCAAAGAGTCGAGGTTCTCTTTCGTTTTGCCCACTATGTTCCCTACCAGTGAGGAATCATTCTTCAACTATCAACACATACATCAAATGAATCATTCATCAAAAAAAAAAATTAAAACTAAAATAGAGTGTTTGTGATGATAATGGTGGCAACTATTATCTACTCACCAGCAACTCCTCATTGGTAGTTTCTGATTGAGCCGAGTCCCCAAAAAACTGAGCAGAGGATATGGACTTTGCGTGTAAGAACCTCTTCCTTGCTGCATCTGATTCTTCAACCTATTAATATATATATATATATAACTAGTCAGAGAATTGTAACTGGATGCTAGTGAGTTAAGTTTCAGAAGAAAAACACGGCTTACCAGGACGACTCTCGACGAGCTGGAGCTTGACTTTGGTGGAGAAACATGGCTAAGCACTTGTGTTCCACCACCGCTCTTTCCTCCAGATTGCAACTCGTCTTCCAACTCAAACCGAGTAGTTAGTGATGAATCGATTCCGCTTTTACTATTTGCACTCCAAGATGATTCTTCCGCTGTCTGCTCGTAGAGTTTTCCGTCTGGCTGCATTTTACGAGGAGGAAGTAAAAGAAAAGAAAGAACGATATTTTATTATCCGAACAAGAAAATAAAATAATAACAATAATAATAATCTGAGACTTAACTATACCTTAGTAGTAAGCTTCCATGCACCAAGAGCACCAGTCGTTTTTGCACCGATAGGCTTCTTACCGGTAGCTTCACGTTTCACACAAGAACTTTCCTGAGGAGGTAACTCTACCTTGGCAGCATAATCAGATGCAACTTCCTTAGCAAGAATCTGCCTATACAAAATAGCAGCTCTTGAAATGTACTTTTCAGCTTCAAATCGTCCCGCATAGTGCCATCCTTGTTGCTTGAAGAACACCTGAGCGCGGTTGTTGCCACCAAACATCATCGCCCTCAACTGCTCATGGCTCCATGAGTCTAAACTCGTTGACCTATATAGTCAAAAACCAAAAACAAAACAAATTGATTTTTTTTTTTTTTTTTTGGTGGTAAAATGTTAGATTTCAGATTATAAAATAATATGATGTGAGTCAGCGAATTCTGAAATCTTATCGTATT